ATGTTCACCCCGGTGAAATTGCTGAAAACGCAATTGTCAGAAGGTGTGCTCCGTCATTAAGTGACACATGACAGGACCTTCCAAATACAACTTCCCATTTTTTGTCGATCTACTTGATGAAATTCAAACGGTTTTTCTCTTTTCACACCAAGTCATTCAGCCTCACCTCTGGTCACCCAAAATATGTAGGGATTTCCTCACCAACACCCAATCAGTCCTCCCTTGGACACCAGCTGGACATCTGTCTTTAACTCAATCCCCACACTATCTACCTGGAGAGATTGTCGGATCCCATGAGTTGAGGGCTTGTCTCCACAACACTGCCCCACTTCATACATGAGCCTCTGGTCATAAGTTATTGCCTACGATTCCCACCAAGCAGCTGTATCTCCTTTTGCTAGAGTGACTCACAGAACTCTGGGAAACACTCATTTACCTTAGCCAGGTTGTTATATAGGATATCACAGAGGGCGTTACAAAGGATACAGATATGATGAAGGACAGACACAGATGAACAGTCAGATGGAACAGATGCAGAGGGCGGAGAGTGGAAGAAGGGGGCAGAGCTTCCGTGTCCCACCCGTGGGAACTTCCACCTGTTCGGCTAGCAGGTTGCCCTCTGCACCCTGTTGGAGTTTTATGGAGGTTTCACTACCAAGGCATGATTGATTACGTCATTGGCCATTGGTCAATACAACCTTCAGTCGTTCTCTCTCTCTGGAGCTTAGGGGGTGTGGGGAAGTTTCACTCCTCTAATTACATGGTTGGTTCCCCTGAAAACCAGCCCCAACCTGGGGCTGTCCAGAAGCCCCTCAAGACTGTCCACGTTAGCACAAAAGACACTCTTATCATTCAGGAAGGGACAAAAATAATATGAGTGCATCAGGAACTGGAATCGAAGGCCTAATGTTAGCACAAAAAGCACTCCTAGCACCTCTAACGATACAGGTGTTAGGACTCTGTCTTGTGGGCAGACCCAAGTATGCATTGCACAATATTATCTGCTGGTAAGTTGGTTCTTTTGAGTAGCAATGTGCCAAGCTTTATACAAGGTTTATTCCAAATATTGGCTCATTTAAATGTCACAAGAACCCTTGTATAGTTTGGATTATAAATGTCCCTGTCCCCAGCCTGTGGTGCTATTGAGATATGATGAAACTTTGAGGATATGGAACTAATGAAAGGAACTTAGGTCAGGAATGTGTCCTGGAAGGGGATATCGGGACCCGAGCCCTCCTCTCTTTCTGATTCCCAGCTGCCATGAGGGGAGCAGCTTCCTTCAGCTGTGTGCTTCCCGCCATGAGCCCACGTGATGGGATCCAGCAATCATAGACTGAAGTCTCTGAAACTATGAGTCAAAATTATTCTTTCCTCCTTGTCAGTTGTTTTTCATGGGTGCTTTGTCACAGCTGAATGACACAAACCCTATGAGAGAGGTAGTGTGTACTAGTTACCTACCTCCATGTTACAAACCATCCCAAAACTTGGTGACGTCAAACAACAGCCATAACTTACTACCTCTCAAGCTTTCTGTGGGTAAGGAATTTGGATGAGAGCCAGGGACAGACTTGACTCTTGTCACACAGCATGTGGTGCCTCCCTTGTAGGACTTCATATTAATTGAAGGCTTTAATTAAAGCCTTTTAAATTAATTGAAGGCTTCATTCCCAACTATCTGGTGTTGATGCTAGCTGTCGACTGAGACCTCCATGTGGCCTGTTTGTGTAGCCTGGGCTTCTTTGGAACATGGTGGCTGGATTTCAAATCAAGTCTCTCAAGAGAGAGTGAGGTAGAAGTCACATTGTCTCTTGTGACCTAGCCTTGAAACTAGTTCAGCATCACTTCATCATGGTTGAAAAGGCCCACTTAAGGTCAAGGGAAGCGCAGATCCAATCCTATTTTGGATTGAATTATGTACCCCCAAAATTCCTAAGTTTAATTCCTAACTCTCAGACTGGAGGGTGTGATCTTTTCTGGAGAAAGGATCTTGAAAGAGACAGTCAAGTTAAAATGAGACATTCATGAGCCCTGATCCTACGTCAGTGCTGTGCTGCTCCAAAGGGAAAATCTGCGGACAGATGTGTGTACCAGGACATTGCCATGAAAACACGAAGGCAGAGGCCTGATGGTATTTCCGTATGCCAAGAAATGCTACACATTTCCAGAAAAACCACTCACCTCTTGGGAGAAGCATGGAACAGAGTCTCCCTTACCAGAGCTCCCTCACACAGAACAAACTTTGCCAACACCTTGGTTTTGACTCCAACCTCCAGAACTATGAGGTGATCTACTTCACTGTCTCATGCACCCAGGTTGTGGTACTTCCTTACAGTGTTCCTAGCAAATTAATGCACCACCTCTCGCTGAAGGCTCATCGACACCACACTGTAAGAAGAGAAAATGGGCTAGGAATGCAGCTCAGTGGTAGAGTGCTGGCTTAGCATGGGCAAGGCCCTGGGTTCCATCCCCAGCATGAGGTGGGGACAGGGAGGATGGGAGAGGGCGGGGGAGAGAGAGAGAGAGAAATAGAACAGATATTGGTATAGCCATCTTTGGAAACTGAAACCTGCTATTTCCCATTCACTGGCCCCAAATATTTACAGCCCTTCCACCTGCAAAATACACTCACCCCATCTTCTAAAACCTCCCAGGCTCATCCCATTACAGCTCAAAGTCCAGAACCTCATCATCTAAATCAGGTTGGAACTTCTAGAAGACAGGTAAAGAACACAGCTCCCATCAATCTGAAGAGTTGCCAATTAAAGAGACAAGTTTCTGATCCTCACCAGCCACACAAAAGGGTGAGACAAACCCTTGAAAGGTTCACCTTCCACAGCAATTATCATTCTCCTGAAAAGCCTGAAACCTCAACTCTAAAACTCCATCAAGGATCTCTCTCAAATTCTATCCTCCCCCCACTAGCCCCCCTTTATAGAGGAAGGTACACAATGTAAAAGCAGTAACTAGTCCTACACACAGCTGGACAAATCTCCCAGACCCAATGGTGAATGAACAAAGCCAGACTCTAAAGAATAAACACCAATATGTTTCTATTTATAGAAAGCTCGAAACCTGGCGAACTAATCCAAGGTGACCTTTGGGGGTGGTTTGATTGGGAGAGGCCAGGAAGAGTCCCTCTAGGTGGATGCCAGGTCTTAAGTATGTCCACTCAAGATTATATTGAAGAGGGTGGGGGGAAGGGGGAGAAATAACCCAAATATTGTATGCATAAATAAAAGAAAAAAAAAGTAAAAAAAAAAAGATTATATTGAATGTAGACCTGTGATTTCCATTCTTAAAAATTTCATAAACCAGCAAGATCCTATACTTCCCACCCCTCACCCCTACCAAATTGCAGGAAGCAATTTTCTATGATAACTGTGGGTTAGTGTTACAACTAGAAAAAAATGCCTTTTAAGTCTTCATAAGGAAGCCTAAGCAGGGAACCAGTAGGGGGAACATCATGGGGTGATAATTAAACTCCCAACTTCTTTGAGGAGGTATTTGAAGGAAATGAACTAGCCATGTGCCTGTGGCTCACACCTGTAATCCCAGCTACTTGGGAGGCTGAGATCAGGAGGACAGAGGTTCAAGGCCAGCCTGGGCAAATAGTTCACAAGTCTCCAAAATAACCAGAGCAAAATGGACTGAGGGTGTGGCTCAATCGGTAGAGTGGCTGCTTTGCAAGTGCAAAGCCCTGAGTTCAATCCCCAGTCCCACCAAAAAAATAAGAGAAGGAGGGATGGAGGAAGGAAGGAAAGAAGGAACTAATGAGGATGGTCTCCCTACCTCCTACCCTCAAGACATCAGTCTTGGAGGAAAAGGACCTGTGAAGAGGCAGCCCTGCCTGTCCTGGTGGTTAGGAGCAGGAAAGAAGTGTAATTCAGCCAGGCCTCAGGGACAAGAGGGCCACCACCCCCGTCTCCCTTTGAATAGCAATGGCTATTGGAGGCTCAGTAGCAGTGAGGTGAGCATCCAAGGTGGTCACTAACATTGTCTCTGCCCCTCAGTCACATCCACCTGGACAGAAAGAACAGCCCTCTATCTGCTACATCCTCCCACAAGTCTCCCCAGTAGGCCTTGTTTCCTCTCATAGGTGCCCAATTGTATCAGGCCCATGGGCAGATCAGGACCACCCCACTCTGCACCAAGACATTGAGGCCCTTTATATGCTTTCTCAGACTTGCTGAAACAAGTGCAAACAGAAATAAAGAGGAAAAAAAATGCTACCTTAATTTGAAAAAGATAGTAAATGTTATCTTCAAACACCAAAACTGAGTGAAGTATTCATGAAATTTACTGCTTCAGATTTAACATGGAATATCCTATTTAGCACTTTAATCAACAAATAACCCCCATCTCTTATAAAAAATAGAGCTATTGCTGTGATAATAGTTTTTAAGTCTTTCTCCTTCAGAGATACTCAACTACTTAGTCACATCAAATAACATGGGCATTATGGAAAATGGAGAGAAATAAAGATGAAGCAAAACTGAACAAGATGTTCAACAAGGGTATTGGGTATTTGGGATTTTCTCGGCTGTTTTCCTTTCAGTACTGGAATGTGAACTCAGGGCCTCAAGCTTGCTGCAGGGGCTCTACCACTTGAGCCCTGCTCCTATCCTTTTCTACTCTTGAACTGCAATCCTCCTCTACTTCCCCCAGCCCTTCTACTTGGGATTAAGAGCCCTGTTTTGTGTTGGGTTTTTTGAGGTAGGTTCTCACCAACTATTTTGCCCCAGGTTGGCCTTGAACCTTGATCCTCCTGATTTCTGCCTCCTGAGTAGCTAGGATTATAGGGGTGAGTGCCCAGTCTAGCCACTTAATTTTTTTTTTCCCCAGTGCTGGAGAAGCACTCTACCACTGAGCTATACCCCTTGTCCTGTTTTTGAATATGTTTGAAATATTCAAAACAAAAAAGTTCATGTTTTAGATAGAAACATGCAGGCTTGTGTATGTATAAACAAAGGTATATATACAAATACTTGTTTTAAGTTACAAATTAGCAGGAATTCTATTCCAAAGCATTTTATTTCTCTTTACAAAGAAAATGGATACATGGTCAATATTCATAGAGGAAGTTCTGTGACTCCCTGAATGTGGTCACACGTAGCCCTGGCAGACACAGTTCCAGGAGCCACTGCCATCTTCACTGTCCTCAGTTCCAAGTCCTCAATCCCCAATGGTTGCACAGCCCAGCTGTGGAGTCTGTCAAATTCCTAACAAGATTCAAGCAGCAGTGACTGCATTTGTGTACATGCCAGCAATCTTAAGTCCAAAATGCTTCAAAGACTAAAGTTATGCACATTTAAAATACATAGAAAAATAATATAATTAGGATTTATACAAAGTAGATTTTTACAAAACAACTTCACTACAAGAAATACATATTAAATCCAAGCATGAAAATGTGGAAATATACATGGACGTTGTATGTTCAAGGAAAGACGTTTATTTAGAAATGCTGGCTGGGAAGGCATGACTAAGTTCTGCTTTACTGGTACAATTTAAGAGAAATTCAATTTGCTAGCAGAACTCTCTCCATTCTCACGCTTCTTCTACCTACGGTTCCTGAAGGAATTACACAGCTGTTCCTCTTTCCAAATTCTGCTTAATTTCCGCTGTGTACTTCCCATAGAATCTTTCCGCTTTCTTGTTGAACTTAGCGTTCCTTTCATTAATGTAGTCAATATCTGCATCATCATTGTAAGGACGTCTTCGGCTATATTTGTCTCGTTTTTCAATTCTGGGGGAAGGAAGTAATTTATAAAGTTTAAAATTGCCTTCTTTTTTGATCTTAATAAAACATGTCCAAATAGTTCAGAACAGAATCAGTTCATTCAGAATAGCACACTTTGGGGGGGAAAAAAGCAAGGTTACTTTTCATCAAATCTGAGCTGAAACTATTAATAAGCAGCAGAACATCAGGCATGAATCATGAAATTCAGTAAACACACACTTCACAATGCTTCTAAAAGAGCAATGACACACTGTTAGGAAGAAGACAAATGAAGTATGACTTAGAAGATAATTATTACAATAAGTGCTATACTAATAATAGCAACCATAGCAAATACAGTGCAAAGTATATGTCAGACACCACTCTACATGTGTTAACTCCTAAAATGCAAATTCTTCTCTACCTCGTATTCATCTCTAACAGTGCTAAGAAACAAATATAATTGAAGTACATTTACTAGAACATTCTTGCTTCTTCAAATAGTGGGGTGGTTGTTAAAGGCCCTTAAAGAATTTTCTTTAAACCTTTCTCCTTCAATTAAAACTACTATAGTTTGGATCTGGAATATTCCCAAAAGGCCCCATATGTTGAAACCTTGGTCCCCAGCCTATGGCACTACTGGGAGGAGGTAGAACCTTTAAGAAGTGGGGCCCAACAGGAGGTAGTTAGGTCACTTGGGTGTGCCCTTCAAAGGAATATTGGGACCCTCACCCCTCCCTCTTCTGTTTTTCCACATGAAATGAATAGGCCTCCACTACCATGTGCTCCCACCATGATGACTGTGCCACCACAACAGGCCCAGCAACCATGGACTAAAATCTCTGAAACCATAAGCCAAAATAAACCTTTCCCCGTAAGTTGTTCATCTCTGGTACTTTGTCACAGAGACAGAAGCTGACTAACACAGTAACAGTGCAATTGTATCATTATTTTGCATCTCCATTCCAAATCATGGACTCAACCCATACCTTGCTTCTATCTCCAACAATACCATAGATACTGGGTCAAAACCCAGCAAATAACATTTCTGTCTGTCCAACTCAACCAAAGCACTTTAGACTTAGATGCACACTCTCAGTCCATTCTCTCCTTAAGCATTTAACATTGCAAGCTGCTCTATTAAGTACTTACTGTTTTTCCAGATCAATGACCATTCTATCAATTTCCTCTGTGGAAGGCACATGAGTCCCATGAAGAAGACTATTCGATGTTGGAAAAAACTCTTCTCCACTGAAAAGACAGTAAAATGGACTTTCAGTGACACAAGTGCTCCATTTCAAATTTCAAACTATACTACCATTCATGATGAGCAACCAAATAGAAATATATACATATATATTTAAAAGGTGGGAGCTCACACTTGTAATCCTAGTTACTAAGGAGGCAGAGATCAGGAGGATCAAGGTTCAAGGCCAGCCCAGGCAAAAAGTGAGACCCTATCTCAAAAATATTCAACACACACACACAAAAAGGGCTGGTGGAGTGGGCTCAAGTGGTAGAGCACCAGCCTAGCAAGTGTGAGGCCCTGAGTTCAAATCCTAGGTCAAAAAAAAACAAAAACAAAGAAAACCCAATGTAGAACTAGAAAGAACTTAAAAACTAAGAAATCCACCCACTCCACCTTCATTCTTCAGATGAATGAGTCAATGGTCAGAAAAAAGGACTTAGGAGGTCACACAGGTTGAGATTAGAATTTCTAAGTTCAAGTTATTTCTATTCCCACTGAACAGGGCTCTGCAGACTACAGCCCTCATCCTACCTATCTTCAACACTCATTTTATAGGGACACAGGCATAGCTGCTCATTTTGTGTCCTCTGTGCCTGCTTTTATAATACAGCAGCACGGGTAAGCAATTCCAACTGAGAACATGTGGCCCACAAAGCCCCGAATATTTACTGTCTGGTTCTTTAGAGAAAAAACTCCCCCACAGCAGCACTAAAGCATTCTACCTCCTAACATAACATCTAACTAGAATAAACACCCAGTCTTAAAATGCCCACCTATAAAGAAAACCAGATGGTTAGCTTCTGCTATAAAGTGAGCAACAGATTTACCCAAACAGAGACCATTCTTAGACAGCTGTTGATAACCTACACCTCACCATTAACATGAGTCTGTACTTACCTGTGTACATACAGGTAGAGATACACGCAGGAATATACCGCCATCACCTCAGGACGGACTTAAGCCTACACACTTACTGTTTTTCTCTCAGCCGCTCGTATGTTTCCATGTCAGGTTTGATCTGCTTTGTCAACCGATGATACTGGCGTAACTGGGCAGCAGCATAATCTAAAAATAAAATGGGATGATATATGTTTGGCCATTACTATCCAGAGAAAATCAAAATTACTGAGGAATACACGCACATGATCCCAACCTAAGCACAGTCTCACTCTTAAATGTGCTGAAAAAAAGATGAACCAATTTTTTCAAAAAAAAATAAAAGAAGCCAGCTGACTAAAGGGCAGCCTTCTTAGCTTCTGCCCTCTGAGACATATTTGCATTTTTCTTGACCTCTTAAGAGAATGTACTGTGAAGGAAACACAAGGGACACAGTCTTTCATTAAACCAGAAACTCTGAAGGCAACACTTATCTACTAGTCTATACAATCAGGTTCAGTAAAGGGAAGGGCAGTTCTACCTGAAAACCCCAGGTCAGGGTTTTTCCTCTTTTTCTTCCTCTCCCATCTTTCTGCATCTTCTGCACTGATCCCCAACAGCTTCACCTTCTCGTAGTCTTCCCCTCTGGCTGCACATTCCTAAACAGAAGAACAAAGCTGGTACCTACAGTTATAAGAATGACTGACCTATTTTAAATCAAGAAAGAGCCAATAAAGATACTTTTTTTTTTTTGGTAGTACTAGGGTTTGAACTCAGGGCCTCACACTTGCTAGGCAGGTGCTCTACCACTCCTCCAGCCCAATTTTTTTTTTTTTTGTGGTACAGGGATTTGAACTCAGGGCCTCCACCTTGAGCTACTCCACCAGCCCTTTTTGTAATGGGTTTTTTTGAGGTAGGATCTATTTGTCCGAGCTGGCTTCGAACCTTCATCCTCCTGATCTCTGCCTCCTGAGTAGCTAGGATTACAGGCGTGAGCCACTGGCATTCGGCTATAATATTAACATTTTTTGAAAAACAATGTATGAAGGAAATTTGAGGACCTACTAAGGTATGTTAGAAGGGAGCACATGAAACTGAGTGTTGTACCAGATGACCTTGTTTTAAATGTTTTGCATGCATTAACTCCTTGAATTCATAATTCACTCAAATAATTACTACTTTAATCCTGTCTTATAGGTTAAAAAGATAAGAAAACAGGCACACAGGTTAAACAGCCCACAGTGTAGCAGCAGATTTCAATTTCCAGTTTGGCTCCAAAGCCTACTCAACTATCATGTTCTTCAGTCTCAATATAAGAACAGGGTGGAGGAAATCACTTTTGAAGACAGTGGAGTAGTTCCCAACCTTTTTCTTTTCTTCTTCCTGTAGTTCCCATTCCAAACGAGCTTTTTTGGCTTCCCAGTTTGCAGGCAACTTAAGTCTTTTATCTTCTTCCACAACTTCCTGGTGATTTAATTTACGAGCTTCATTCTAAAACCATTAAACAAAAAAAGTTGTCAGACCCAGTGACAAACACTTGTAATCTCAGCATTCAGGAGGCAGAGGCAGAAGGATCCTCAGAATTCCTGGCCAGGTGCCAGTGGTTCACACCTGTAATCCTAGCTATCCATGAGACAGTGATCAGGAAGACGGGGGTTCAAAGCCAGCCCTGGGCAATTAGTTCTCGAGAGCCTATCTTGAAAATACTCAACAGAAACAGAGCTGGTGAAGTGGCTCAGGCAGTAGAGCACCTGCCTAGCAAGTGTGAGGCCCTGAGTTCAAACTCCAGTATGGCAAGAAAAGAGTTTTTAAAAAAAAAAGATTTTAAAAAGTCAAGCCAGACATAGTGGCATTGGAAGATGTTTTACTTTTAACGCTAACAAATTCAAAGAGAAAGCCTCAACTTGGGGTTGGAGGGTTTTAATAGCTATCTTAGCATCTTGAACCCTTTCCTAGTCTCGTAAGTATGTAAATAATTTACCCTGTGACACGTGAAAGGAACTCTCTACTTGAAGTACTGCTAAATAGTTTGTTTTCAGATAAGCATAAAAGCACGAAATGAGTACTGCATCATAAGGAACATGTAAGCAAGACGTTTCTTGGGTCACAGGCTGGGGGACGTTAGTCCAGGAAGCCATGTTTCCTACATTCCAGGCATGTGTTCTTTACATAATCTCCCACGGAAATATTTAAGCACATTTGTTTATTAGACTAACTTTTTCTTGATAGAGAGATGCTTCTGGGACTAAAGATGTTGCCCAGTGTGAAGCCCTGGGAGTGAAGCCCAGTACCTCAAAAAGAAAGGAACAGAGGGGAGATACTCTTTTAAACTACCCCTCCTCAGATACTCTGGGCTCTGGCAATGCCCTCCAGTTTACAGTCAAACAAAGCTGGGTTTGTTGCATTAAAGGAGAAGGCAACCCATGCAGAACATTCCAGTGGCAGGGTGTTCAAAGGGGCTAGTTACAAAATTTGAGTTTGTATCAGAAGAGTAGGGATAAGATCCAAGGCTCTGTATGCGGCATTGTCAGAAAGCAAGGCATTCTATGATTAAGTAGTTTAAATATTTATGAGGGAGACGTCATAGATTGAGACTATAACAATTGGTAATAGCGGCAGTGGGTATTAACAGGAAGAGGGGTGTGTGATTAGTTGTTTTGAGGACTCTTCTTGGTTTCATCTCACTCCAATAGTTGAGTGATGTCTGGGTTTTGTGGGACTTCGCTCTTGCTGTGAGATAGGCTACTCCAAGCTAAAAGAGTCAGGGTTACTTTTTTCTTTCTCAGTTCCAACTGCAGCCAGCTGCTTACTGGACTCATCCCTTATACAAATTCTTTTCCTCTGCATTTGTTCCCTCTGCCTTATTCGTCTGATAATATACTTACCTTTCAAACAACAGCTTAGATGTCACTCACCTCTTGTATGAGGCACTCCCTAGAGTTTCTCATACTGCACTGATCTCTTCTCTGCACTTTTAGGGCACTGTGTTCCTACCTCTAGCATTGCATTTATCACATGGAATTTCTGGTTATAAGGTTATTCCTCCACTTCGGAGCAGACACCATAAACTTAAACATCTGATTCCTCACCAACTGCTTAGACCACCACACTGTAGACTTTTAGAGGTCTGCTCATTATTTTTTAAATGAAGAACCTCTTTTACTGACACTACACAAGCTTCTCCCAATGTGGGGATCATAAAGCAGGAGGGCTGTTAGTAATAGACTCCCAAATCTAGCCCAAATAAATTAAATCAGACTGGGGGGGAGGGATAAAGCGAGCAGGTGTATCTTTGGAAGTTCTCAAAGTGATCTCAATGCGCTCCGGGGTTGAGAACCACGGGGATAGATCCTCCATCCGGAGCTGACCCAGCTGTGCGGTCAGGTGCGCAGGGTCCCCGACCTCGTCCCTCTACCACACGCACTGGCCTGGCCAGGTGACAGGTCTGCGCGGACCTCCAGGGCAACTCACCCGCTTCAGGTGCAGCTCCCGGAATTTGCGCAGTCTCTGTTCGCGCTTCTGATCAGCCAGCTCCTCGGTCGCCGTGCGGAGCTCCTCCGCGCCATCCTCTGGCACCTGCAACAAAGAGAACCGGCTTCAGGCAGGGTTCGCGTCTCCCGAGAGTTGGCCCAGGCAGACTCTCGAGCGGCGGGAGTTTCAGGAAGATTCCGACAGGCCGGACCCAATCCCACCGCCGACCCAAACCCATGAAGTGTGCGCCTTCCTGGCTTCTCGCCCTGACTTTGCCTCCTTTTCTCTTTCCGTCTCTCCTGGAACTCTCACCAACATCCCCTGGGTAGGGCCGAGAACACTTACCCTCTCGACTTCAACTGCAGCCGCCATTACAGCTTTCTTCTTCCTACTTCCGGCAACAACGCGGAACACTTCCGCCGGCCTGTGGACAGCCGGGCCAAGTACAAATAAACTACTTCAAGCCCCGCCCCTTCCGGACGGCCTCAGGAACATAGGACCAATCCCTGCCCCTTTTTTTGAGATGAGGTGTTCCCTCATTGGACAAAAGCCTGCGCAGCCGCAGAAGGCTGCAGAAGTGAGGTTGGAAATTTACCTAATCTGCATGCTGTTCCTAAAATCAAGTGTTTTCATTGCTTTTGTCTTTTTTAAATTTTTATTAGCATGAATTAATTAAATAGAACTTCTTGGAAGCCCAACAAGAGTAATTAGGTTACTTTATGGCTATGGTTGTGATGTTTTTGTTTTTGGTGGTACTGGGGTTTGAACTCAGGGCCTTGCACTAGTAGCAAGTACTTTCATTCAGTACTTAACTTCTATGTCACCGGCTGGGAGACAGGACTTCCCAGACTTCCTTGTTCTCATGTAGATCTTTAGTACTATTGACATTTAGTCCCTTACATGTTGGGCGCTGGTGGCTGGCACCTGTAATCCTATCTAGGATTTCGATTAGGAGGCAGAGATCAGGAGGATCGGTTTGAAGGCCAGCCCTGGGCAAATAGTTCAGGAGGAAACCCTATCTGGAAAAAAATCCATCACAAAAAAGGGCTGATGGAGTGGCTCAAGGTGTAGACCCCGATTTCAAACCTGAGTACCACAAAAAAAAAAAAAAAAAAAAAAAAAATGAATGCAGAAGGGATAAGAACTAAGGTGATACTCTGTTTGGTGGTAGATTACTTCAGAACCCATAAAACTCCCCTATACTAAAGACAATTCTGAAGTATGTCCTGAGGACGGGACCTTAGCCCTCTAGTGTAACTGACTGTGCCCAGGGTGAAACAGGAAGAAACAGAAGGGAAAAGGAGAGTTAAACATGTCCAGAGGCTCTGTTTGCCGGGCTCACAGATACTCAGAGACAATGATTTTCCCACTGTCTTGATTTTTTCCTTGGTGTTGTGGTTTGAGCACAAGGCCATTAGCCACTGAAGTACATCCCCAACCCTACCCTCATATTTCAATGTGAATCGTCCCAAACCAGATCATCTGACAGTACTGTTAGCTGGTAAAGTCGGGAGAGATCTATGAACATCTTTGTAGAATTCTAAAGATAGCTTTCAATCTTAACTGTGATGACCAAAAAAGAAAACTTAATTCTGTGGTTTTTGTGTCCATTACAGAATTGAAAAACATGACAAATACAGCAGGAAATGGCCCTATGTGGTACAGCTAGTGACTACATTAATAGAAAAAGTTCAACAGAAAGGCAGGTGTCTATGGGAAGAATACAGCTGAAAAGCATGAAAAGAGCAGCTGTCTCACCTCCTCCAGGAACTGCTTTGACTGCCAGATTGTACAAATAAACCAAGACTCTATGTCTTCTTTCCTTTTGTAATTTGTAGAGGTGTTCATTGTATCTTCACACTTTTATATTATTCACTTAGGTCTTTGAAAAGTCTGTTTTCTATTTGTGTTTAAAGTGTGTGCTTTAACTTATGAAACCGGGTTTTTTTTGGGGGGGGGTAGTGTTGAGGGTTGAAGTCAGGACCTCATGGTTGCTAGGCAGCCATTCTACCATTGAGCCTCTCTGCCAGCCCTTTTATGTTGGCCTGAACAGCAGCCCTATTTGTGCTTCACCGTATAGCTGGATATAACAGGTGTGTACCACTACCCCAGCCATTGGTTGAGATGTGGGTCTCACTTTTTGCACAGTCTGGCCTCAAACTGGAATCCTCCCAATCTCCACCTCCCAAGTAACTAATATTACAGGGTTGAGCCACCACAATTGCCACGGACAACACAACTTTTACATATTACTTGAGGTCTGTGATATGTATCTTGTCTTTATCCCTAATTCCTGGAAAAGCTCCTAAAATCGTTGAGTGATAAGCATAAAGAATATTATTCACAATAAATCCCTATTGAAACCGTATTTTGGGGGAGGATGGAGCATTGCTGGGGTTTGAACTCAAGATTTTGTACCTGCTAGGCAGGTAGGTGCTCTACCACTTGAACCACCTCCAGCCCTCAAACCCATACCTGAGCCTATGCTAATGAGCAACTTGGAGGATAAGACCCAGCTGCCAGAGAAACCAAATGATTAGAGGGTCAAAACTTTCAGCCTCATCTCCCCCCACCCTTGGAAAAGGATGAATAGATGGTGACTCCAGTCAGTCATGGGCAATGATTTAATCATGCCTCTGTAATGGAATGGCCATAAAATTCCTAAAACCACAGGGTTCACTTTGGGGAGTATGCATCCCTGTGGCAGGGATACAAACCTGAGACAGAAGCTCCCTTCTGGATTTCACCCCAGTTGGACCCCTTCATCTGGCCGTTCATATATATCCTTTGTAAGCCAGTAATTATTTTCCCCTTTTCTTTGAACCTTCATAGGCAACCTGTAAAACCAAAAAGGGACAAAAGGGGTCATGGGAACCTCCAACATGTAGACAAGCTGAAATTAAGTGCAGGAAACATGGGAACCCCATTACCTACCATTGGCACCTGAATAAGGTGGACAGTCTTGTAGGACTGAACCCTTAACTTGATCCCTATCTTCAGTCATATTGTTGGAGGGCTCAGAGACTGAGAGTACCAAAGCTTTCAGGAAGCAAGTTTATTAAGTCCAAAGGCTAAGCATGGAGAACAAAGGCAGCTCTTCTTACATACCACTTAGAGCAGGTTAAAGAAATTGGGGGGTGGGGGGTGGGGAGATAACAGCTTGTTCCATACATAATCAAGCTATTTCATTAGCTGCTTTAATCTCTGGCGTGAGGTGATCCTTCTCTGGTCTCTAGGTAACATTCTCGTTTTTGTTTCACTGTGGCACTCAATCGCCCTTCCCCCTCCCTGCCTTCCTGCCACACTATCTTAATTGAATCACAGGACACTCGGTACAGGCAGAGAATAAGGAAAACTGCTTGGTGTGGGAAATCCACCTTCAGTGTCAAATGTGAATTTCCTTTTCAGGATCAACTGTTCCCCACACACATACCCGAAGACAGGTTCACTATGTAGCCCAGACTAGCTTTAAATTCACAGTCCTCCTGAGTACTTCGATTAAAAGTGTGGGCATTAAATCCAGTTTATGTTAAAAGCAAGTCAACTTTTTTTTGTTTTTTTTTACTTTGATAGCATGGGGCATTGAACTCAGGACCTCTCACTAGCTAAGTAGGCACTCTCTACCACTTGACCCACTCCACCAGCCCTCAAAGTCAACTTCTAAATAACTGAGTACTTCTTTTATGTACAGCCTACACACCCATTCATTGTAACTGCTCCGTCTGTCCTCTCCTGATTTATTTTGCTTCTAATATTCTGCCCTTATTACCTCTAGCTTATCTCAGCCTCTTGGGAATCTATTCCATTATTTTCTGAGTTTAAGATGGTGTTCAAGACAGGAGAAAGAGGAAACAAGAAAAACATTACCTATACTAAAAAATAAAACCCAGACAAAATACACAATAACCCCAAGACAGTATTGTCGAAGGAGCCAAATGTTTTAATATGTAACAACAGATTAAAAACTACAAGAGCATCACCAGCTGATTTAGACCAACTGTCTAGATTAACTCATAGTAGTGTTCACTTTTAAAATTACGTGCTTAATAAAAGTCCCTCACAGCTACAGCAGCATCAAGGAATTTCAAAATGATCAGGCTTAACATTTAGAATCTCTTAAAAGAAACTAGTACCTCAGAGTTTTACAACTTAACAAGGCATTCCACCTCACTTCTGGCTTAAGTTTCCTGCTCTGAAGCTCACAGTATATAGCACAAATTATGACCAACCGCTCAAACTTTAAAGTGTCATGCACTTTAAAAGATCTCTGCTCAGGAGGCAGAGATCAGGAAGAACTCCAGGAAACAGTTCTCAAGACCCTATCTTGAAAAAACTCATCACAAAAAAGGGCTGGAGTGGCTCAAGGTGAAGGCCATGAGCGAATTCGAAACCCAGTAACAACCATCCCCCCCAAACCTCCCCAAAAAAGTTTGAGACCAGCCTGGGCAGGTCTCATCATACACACAAACAAAAATTATCCACATGAATTCAGGCCTGAGTCCTATACTGACAGTCCATGAACTTGGATTTAGGATGAACAAGGTTTTGGATTTAGGATGAACAAGGTTTTTAAATATAAGACACTTCCTTCACCCTTCTCCATTAATTACACATTGTACACACATAAGACAAGTAAAAACTTTATTAACAAATATACAAAAAATATAGTTCAGTCACTATGTCTTAAAAATTTCACTTTTATATAACCAATATCATACAATATTTACAAGTATATATACAAACTCCCACCTGTATGTAATCTCTGGTCCACTTGTGGTCTTGTAGCTTCAAGAAAAACCTAAAATGTTAACATTTTACTATTATGTATATGTATTTGTATTGTTTTTTCATTCCAACAATTACTGCTAAATGACTCGAGGGGATGAGATAATGCTACAAATAGGAACTTGCAATAAAGTGCAGTTTTAAGCAATCTCAGAAGTTTTCTTCTTTTAGACAGGTATCCATAGTCCATAAGGACTTTTTTTCTTATCTATTTTTGGCAATCCTGAAGATGTCTCTTCAGTAGCTTTAGCTGTTTTCTGTATTGGTTTTGCTACAGAATTCTGTAAGACAATAAATTAAGTCAGATTCCCACACAAACTTTACGTACTGATTATTTGCTTTTCACAAAATACACTAAATTTCATCTAAGGGCCCTAAGACTTAAGGCCAAGAAACTCCTGGGGTTTCAGAAGAAATCAGGCATACAGAGGGTATAGACAGGCGGTTTTGCTTTTCAGTCCTTATTCTAAAGGGTTCTGATTAAAGGGTATTCTGGCATTTTTTTATTTAAAAATATTGCTACAATAAAAATGGGTAATATTTAAAAGAACAAAATGGTCCAAACTTACGTTATAAATAAGATGTGGCAGGAGCCCACTATAATGGCTGCTTGCAAAAATGGCATAAAGAGACTGATTCTATTTATAAACAGACTAAGCAGGCCTCAAACTATAAAAAATTTTTAAAAGCTTACAAAATGCAAGTAACATCCTAAACACCATTTTTGAATATACTTACATTAACGCTGAAAGTTATGTTTCTTTGTTGTGATTTTTCACTGGGGTTTTTAGTTCCATCTTCTGTTTGCTTTTCCAACAGCTAGACAGAGAAAGAGTATTTTTTAAAAAAAAAAGGACTGTTGGATTTCTAAATACTGCATAAAAAGAATCTCAACTGGATATAAATTTAACTGTAGAACACAAATCAGGTTGGATCTTGGATCTAACACCATATAGTTTAACAGTCTAAACATCCAATGTTGAGTTTTCCACTTAGAATAACTTAATAGTATAGACTTTTGAAAATAAAGTCACACGAAAATACCTAGTTTCAAGAAACTATGGCATTTGTCAGCTGGGGTACCTAACTGAAAAATAACTAAGCCCTTATTTGTCTACTAAGCAAACTTGTATTTGGGTCCCAATGTTACATTCATTTATATTTAGACAGGTTATCTGTGTTAACTCTATCAATTTCGACCTTACATCTGTAAAGCTATCAATTTTATAAGCTTTAGATTTCACATTAACTTAAGCACAGTGCAATTTGCCAATGCACATCCTGCATACTTCTGGATAATTATAATAAACTTATCTGCAAGTGAAGTACGATTCCTCTTCTGTAATCTCTCAAAACATCTGGAATATATTGCATATATTATAAAAAGGACATCTATACCACAGATGCCCCACCATTACCAAATGTGCCTTTGCTTAATTTAAAAACTGTCTTTAGTGCCTTATGCAAATAGAACCTGTCCCAAATTCTAGCATGCACATGGAACTACCAGCAAAAAAGCTAATCTTTTAGTGTGTGAATGTAAACTTAAGTTAAACCTCTGATGCTTTGGCCCATGTATCAATTACCAATAGATTTTCTTCATCATTGTCTGGAGACCACATTCATGATTTCTATAAGACAGAAATAAAGCAGATAAACTATACTGTACGTTGATAAAAGATTTGCGGGAACACAATGCTGACATTGAAAGCTACAGATAAAATACCGTCCATAAAGACAGATCTGATCAAAGAAATCACTAAATACCAGCAATGATACATTCCATTCACGGTGTTAGGAAAGGACTAGTACAGCGTCAAATGGAGAAGTTCATCACCTCCCAACTTCATGGGTGTGACTGTGTAATATTGTAGATCTGCCATTTTTGTTTTTTGGCAAATTAGGTTAACTAGACTTCCCAAGAAGGGTAATACAAGGGCAAATCCGATCTTTCTGAAGAACTTGTTCAGGTAACCTCGATGACTTACCTTAAACTTTGCCCCACTACTTGGTGCAGTTGTTCCTTGGCTTGTTTCTTTAGCTACAGGAACAGTTCTGAGGCTTGCTGGCAAGTCAAAGTTTGTTGTTCCCAAAGCTTTCGCTGCATTGGCTTTTGCTATTTCTAACAGCTCCATTCGATCTAAAAAGTGTAACACATCCGTTAACCTGCAACAGTTCCCGGAGAACTCAATCACAGAAACTTGTTTTCTCACGGCTCCATTCAAACAGACTTCTCTACCACAAATTTAACTGAGAAAAAGCAGCACTCCTAAAACAGTTTTCAATTTTTCTGACCAACAGCCTTATTACTTTGCATTCTCTTCTTTTGTTATCTGAAGTTTTTCTGCAGATTTTATGATACAATTTCCTTAGCTTCTTAAGCACTATTCATGTACTTCTAACGTCCAAACTGCATTTCTAGTTCACAATCCTGTCCAGAGTAACAGTGACTTGGTACAAAACGCCAGAGCAATCCAATTTTGGTAACAATTAACTCCAACAATTTCAAAGCTTCGGGCAAACAACTACGTCACTAACCTTTCATTTTGCGGCACCTGTAAGACTACAGTAACAGCCGCGCAGAAAAAAAGGTTTCCTCCAACTGAGCCACCAATTAAGGCCGTGGCCGTAACTCTCACTAGCTAGGGTCCCCGCTGCCCACCTTTGTCGCTGAGTCGGAAGGGGGTCCTGCTCCGCGACCTGGTGCGGGACCTGTCCCGCCAGCGGCCGTGCTCCTCGGGGTACACGGTGCGGCCGAAGCCGTAGTAGCGGCGGCCCCGCGCGAGCGCGCTCTCGGGCCGCCGGCAGTACGCGCGTCCCCGCAAGGGCGAGCGCGAGCTGCTGCGGGAGCGGCGGGGCCTCCGCAGCCGGCCCGGGCGCCGATCCCGGTAGCGGCGGCTGCGGGAGCGCGAGCGGCTCCGCGAGTACGAGCGCGAGTAGCGCCGGAACTTCCGCTGCTGGCGCCTCCTCGAGCGCGACCTGGACCGGCTCCGGCGCCAGGGGCGGGGCGGGCTGCGACTCCGGGACGAAGAGCGGCTCGAGCCGCGGGAGTCGGGCCGGGAGCTCCGGGACGAAGAGCGGCTCCGGGACCGCGAGGACAGTCGGCTGGAGCGGCCCGACCGCGACGCCGAGGGCGAGTCCTTGTCCTGCGGGGAGCCGGGCCACAAGTCGTTCACGTAGTTGGGCATGGCGGCGGCAGCCGAGCTGCTTCCGGTATCAAGCACCTTCCGCTGAAATCCAGCCAGGGAAGAAAACAAGTCAGGCCCGGAAGTGCGGGCGGGACCGGGCCCCGCGGAGGCGGAGCCAGTCGGCGGGCTCTGAGGGGCACGCTTGGCGCCAGGCCAAAGTGGCGACTTCCGCCCCGAGCAGGCCCGCCACCTCTCCACCCCCGTTCACACCCGAGGTAGCGGAAAACTCACCGCAGGCCGCCGACGCCTCGCTTAGGACGGAGAGAAAGGTCCGAAAGATGTCTTCCTCTCGAAGCTCGGGACCAGGAGGGGAAGAGTTTCGCGAGTGCTGCGTTGCGAGAGCACAATCGCCACCTTCGACGCCTAGGCGCGAACTGAGCCGAGCGTCCGCAGACGCGCTGACAGTACGCGCCGCTGACGCTCTGCGCATGCGCAGAAACGTTGGCAGGGTGGGCGTGACTTTCCTCCTATCCAACCGCCACCCTGCTTTCTCGCCCCGCCCTGGCAGTTCCAGAATGCGCATGCACGACTAGGCCAGGGGCGGTGCTGTCATATCCGGGTATCCTGGGGCTGCTTGTTTTCCATTCTGATGTATCCAGGCATAAGAAAATTTATGGCATGGCTCAATATGGCGCGTCACTCAGCTCGGTACTGTGAGGTTCGGGAGTGCAGTCGCAGGTTGGACAGGTCTTGGGCCTGCGGCCGTCGGGCGGGCTGAGGCCGACCTGACGCTGCCTCCCCCTCCCGGAAGCTGCGTGCTCGGACTGTGCCTCGCTGGACACTTCCTGGCCACATCCGGCTGTCCTAGGTCCGGCGGCCAGACCGGCCTGGGTCGGTATAGGAGGGACATCCAGAGAGGACTGTGGTTCTCCCAGAGACAGTACGGGGTCCCTGAATATACAATCCTCATTAGGTTTTTATTTTTGTTTTGTTTTACAGAAAATGTAGAGACCACCATGAGTTGAATGAAGTAACTACTTGAGAATTAGTAGTATGCACGCCTTTAGAAGGGCGTTTTTACAAAAGTCCTAATTTTGGAGGGAGATACAAAGTCATCTTTTGCTCATCTTCAGCCCACATTCCCCAAATATACATAGAAATTGAGAAATACAAGCTTAATAATTTCTTAGCCTTTTGGCTAAGATGAAATGTAGTAAAACAAGACACCAAGGTGACCTGCCTTACTTTCACACTGTCCAGTGTCATCCACATCTCTGAAGACATATTAGGATGAAAACAGCTTAAGATATGGTTCTTTTCTAAATGCCATCCCAAACCAAAATACAGTGCTCACCCACCAGGAACTTTTGTTGAACATTCTTATGAAGCTATGTGGGTGGACAGAAAAAAATGAGTTTGACATTGGACACGTGTAAAAGTGACATATTGGGGGAAATAAAGTGAAACTATGCTTATAATGAAGTCTTGAATGTTGGTCATGAATAAGGAAGAAATGATAGGAACCTCTGGTCAGTTACAGTATCAGTCAAATGTGTACCTAAAAATGACCAGAAAAGTTAGGTATGGTGAGTCACACTTGTAATCTCAGTGCTTGGGAGGCTGAGGCAAGAGGGCTGAGAAAGACCCTATCTTAAAAAAATAAAGACCAGAAAATTCCTGGACAGATGTTGGAAACTGGGAAATATTACTTTGTCCTTGTACAGAATGCTCGTGTATTTATCTCTGGACTATATGTAATATGCAGTCTACCCGAGTTAAAGTCTGCAGTGCTGTCACATTTCTTTGTGTAAGAAATACAATCTCTGAGCATCAATCTGCTTACCTGATAGAAAAATCCAACTTCAAGCCCATCACCAGTGGCTCACGCCTATAATCCTAGCTAGTCAGGAGGGAGAGATCAGGAGGATCAAAGTTCGAAGCCAACCCTGGCAAATAGTTTGTGAGACCCTACCTTGAGAAAACCCATCATAAAAAAGGGCTGGGCTGGTGGAGTGGCTCAAGGTGTAGGCCCTGAACTCAAACTTCAATACTGAAAAAAAAAAAAAGGTCCAACTTCATTTGTATCATTAGCACATCTAATACTGAGGTTTTAAGCTAATTTAGGCAAAAATGGCACCTTTCCACTAGGGAATCTTCTCACCTAAAAATGACAATTCACCTTTTTAAAGTTTTGTTTGCTTTGTTTTTTATGTGCTTCACCGTGGTAGACAGACTAAAAGCCCCCCTAATAGCTCCCCAGAGATATTCATGCCATAATTCCCCCATCTGTGAATATATCACCTTAGCAGCAGATGTAATTCAGGATGGGTATGAGACCATCCTGAAGAATAGGGGTAGGCCCAATCCAATCACAGAAGAGACTCAAAGCATGAGAAGAATTCCATGCCCTGTCATTAATTTTGAAATGAAACAAGCTACATGCAAGAACCAGAGAGGCCTGTAGTGAGCTAAAGGTGGCTCCCAGTTGTCAGCAAGGACACAAGAGACCTCAGTCCTACAGCCTCACAGAATTAAAAGCTGCCAACCCCTGAATAATGAGAAGTATTGGAGCTTCTCCCCTAGAGCCCTCAAAAAGGAATGCAGCCCTGTGAGTCTTTGCTTTATCCCAGTGAGACTTCTCACTCATGGAACTGTAAGATAATACATTCAGGTTGTTTTAAACCACTTAAGATTGTGGTTAGACATAGGAAACTAATACATTCAGTAAAATGTGGTAGCTTTTCAGATAGCTTGCCTATGTCTTACTAGGTGCATTATGAAATATCTTAATGACATTGTAAATGTAATGATAGTAAATGTGAATAGGATCTTTTTTGTTATCACATGTTCACGTTGTTCAACAGGTGAACAATAGCTAGCTGAGTTCCATAAATAACACCTGGTTGAGTTTTTATACCAATATGAAAGACTTTTTCCATAAGTATAAACAGGAACAGTTGAAATGTTGGTTTTACCTCTTCCATTGACATCAATTTATTATACTTTTCTTTTTCCACTTTATCTTATTTTTTTATTTTTATTTTAGGTGTTCTTTTCTTTGCTTTTTGGTTTTGTTTGGAGACAGGGTCTCTCTATATAACCCAGCTGCCCTTGAGTTTGAAATCATCCTGCCTCCTCCTTCCCAAGTGTTATAATTACAACCTGCACCACCATGCTCGCTCCCTTTCCAGCCACTCTGTAACACAGGCTCACTTCAAAATCACGATCCTCCTGCCTCAGCCTCCGTGGGAGAGGTTTTTGGTTTTTGAATGAATAAATTAGGAAGATAGTTATTCCAGAGTTTATGTTGCATGCACAGAAGTAATTTTCTCATTTGATACTTATAATAATACATTTTGTTAAAAAAGTATCTCAGATACAAGCCAACCAGCACATTCTAGATCATTTTTTTAAATCAAGACAAATAGGACAAGGATTTTTCCATTAGTGCCTTTATTTCTCTGATGATACTGCTGAGTACACAAGGAAGAATGTAAAACTCAATTAACTTTTGAATCTGTCCATCTATGTGTTTCTTTCAGGAAAGGGGGAATCTAGGAGTAAAGGTAGCTTCTTTAATGAAGAAGTATTCATTTTCTAAGAATTGCTTTCTAAATTCTGATATGCTCGACTCTCCGCTCATTATTAATTCAGCAGACATTTTCTCAGTGTCTCCTCTTTATCAGTTACAGGAAAAGCAAAACTAAATTCCATGTGATTCCCACCACAAAGTACATCACAAGCATCTAAATTGTGTATTTTTTTATTAGTATAACTTATTAAAGACATGTATCAAAAGGGAAATAGGGCCAGGTACCAGTGGCTCACGCCTGTAATCCTAGCTACTCAGGAAGTAGAGATCAGAAAGATCGTGGTTCGAAGCCAGCCAGGGCAAATAATTGTTCATGAGTTTCTATCTCAAAAATACCCATCACAGAAAAGGACAGGCTGAGTGGCTTAAGTGGTAGAGTGCCTTTCTAGCAAGTGTGAAGCCCTGAGTTCAAACCCCAGTACTGCCAAAAAAGAGGGAAAAAGGTAACAAGAGTGGAGGGAAGGAAAAGGACACCACGGAAATACTCTCCAAAGCATGCACTGGCACAACCTTTGCGGTGGCACTCCTGAAGAAACGTGAACTAGGGGCTAAGGCTGCAGGGCTCAGGCTGCTACAGGGAAGTGAAGTTGACCTTCATGTTTGCCCATAGCTTGGGAGAGTGGCAGGCAGCCAGCTCTCCTGTTTCAGTCCCTAGTTCAGGCTGTGCCATCAGGTGAACAGAACAGCAGTGTGGATTCCTCCGGTTGGGAGCTATCCCACCCACCCCCCACAATCTCTGAGCCATTCTCAGAGGTAAGTCTCCACATAGCCAGGCTTCCAGCAGACTCAACATTTCCATAGTCCTCTGGGGCCCAGTGACAGGCCAGCAATGAAATGCCTATGTGAACCTGGGGAACATCTGAAGGTTTTAAGGAACCTGGAATTCCCTTTGTAGCTGAGGGGCTTGGGGCTGATAACTCCCCAAAGTGGAACATTGATGTCCGAAGCAGTGATCTCACATGCCATCCCAGGACATGAATGTCAGTAAGCAAAGGGGATTCCCTTTCCATCTCATGCTGTAACTGTCCTGGTTAGGGTGGAGCAGCACAGCCTAGGATCCACGAGGCCCAGGATTTTGCCCACATCCCTTCTTCCCTACTTCTCATTCTGGAACATGTGCTGGTCTTTCTTTGACTTTTTGAGGAATTGCTCACTGTGGGAGTTTCTGTTTCCACCCTGGCCAGCAGGGTTGAAATCAAGGAAATCTAGATAAAAGCTGAGGTACCAGAGGTCAAAGCCAAACAGGCTTCCGAGATGCCTTGTTACAGTTTTTAGAAGAAGCAGATATACTTTTATTTAAACCAGTTCTTTTAGAGAATGAGGTAGCATGTAGCGTCACATAAAATTAGCACTGGTGGGAGAGAGGAGAAGAGAGAGAACAATGGAGGGGATAAATCCAACTATGATATATTTTTTAATGTATTCCCCTGTACAACTAATATATGTTAATAAAATCATAAAAATACTGAAGAATATTACAATTTTTAATAAATTCAAACATATAAATAAATATAATACATTACATATACATTCTTTCTGGCAGAGCCTCTGCGCTTTTTGTAAGTCCTGAAGTTTGAACTCAGGGCCTTACACTTGCTAGGTAGGCTCTTTATTTGATGGTACTGGGGTTTGAACTCAGGACCTCACGATTTCTCAGCAGACACTCTACCACTTGAGTCACTCCACCAGTCCTTTTTTTGTGTTGGATACTTTTGAGATGGGTTCTCGAATATTTGCCCAAGCTAGCCTAGAACCTCAATTTTCCTGATCTCTGCCTACCGAGTAGCTAGAATTACAGGTGTAAGCCACTGGCACTGGCAAGATATTTTTAGTCTTCCTGCTTTGTTTTCCAATAATACTCCTCTGAATTGCCTGCCGCCTTCAGGGTATCCTTTTCTTTTATGTAGTGGTGAAACTGAGTGCAGCCAAATGTAAAATTGTCCTTGACCTAGAGTTGTGCTTTTAGCATGCTCACTTTACACTGACTCCTAGTGTCTGTCTAGTGTGATGACACCAGGGGGAATATCCTCTCAACAAAAAAGTCTGAGCATGGAACTCTTAGGATTTTGCTGACTAGCAACAGCAGAATTTTTTATTGTTTCTTATTGACAGTCTTGTTTGTGTCGACCACCTGTTTGTCAACCACAAATTCATGCATCTATAAATTCATGCACTTCTATAAACTGTGCATCTAGAATTTCATGGTGGAGGTGACCCATGTCTAAAACATCCATTTTCGAACTTTCTGAAGCACAATGGGTATCACTGTAAGTTAAACCTCCCTCAGGAAAAATAGTTTTAAGACACAGAGGTCATCTGAACCAGTAAAATGAAACTGGATTCCAATAAAGTTATAATTCCACTAAAGAAATTGAGAAAATCCTGTTTAACTTCCTTGCTTATTTCTGGTGATCTTTTTTTGAGTTCTAAAGCAGTTTTCTTTCCAAAACATGAATTGTTTTTTCACTGAGTTTCTGTTACAATTTACACATCACATCAAACAACTCAGGTGTGGTTAGTTTGTCTTCTTCAAGGCTCTGTATGGCTTCCTCAACAAAGGTCACCCAGCAGTTCTGAGCAAAAAAACATAGAGCTGGAGGCCGGTGGCTCACACCTCTAATCCTAGCTACTCAGGAGACAGATATCAGGAGGATCACAGTTCAAAACCAGTCTGGGCAAATAGTTTGCCAGGCCCTAGCTCGAAAAACCCTTCACAAAAATAGGGCTGGTGGAGTGGCTCAAGGTGAAGGCCCTGAGTTCAAGTCCCAGTACTACAATAAAGAAAGAAAGAAAGAAAAGAAAAATACCTGTACCAATTCCTCTGCCCTGAACATTAAACAATCACAATTAACCTTCATTCCTGAGGGGTAAGAATCATGCCTATTTAAAAACAGGCTATGGACTGAGGGTGCAGCTCAGTGGTAGAGCACTTGCTTAGCACTCATGAGGTCCTGGGTTCAATCTCCAGAACCAAAAAAAAAGGTTATGGATTGTACTATATATAGTTTTACCTACTAACCAGTTAGTGACTCCTTGAAACCAAATTACATGGATTTCACACAACACAACTACTTAGCCCACGACACTGAACTCTCAGGGAGGTTCCGCCCTCGCTAAGTCTTCCTGCATCTTTCCCTCCAGCTGCTCTGCTCTTCTGGATTTCCCATAGTAGCGACCTCCCCCAATACGGGACCAGGTCCGGGATCCCTTTGGAAAAGGAAACGGTTAATACCTCCAGGACAGGAGAGCGGCTGCGGGATTGCAACCGGCTCTGTGGTAAAACCGTGAGCAGCACCTGCACCTCCTCTGGAGGACCTTGACCTTGACCTTGACTGAGTCTTCTCCTGGACGCCGATGGATTAGAACCGTGGGACCCGAATTGACAGCTGCTGCAGCAGGCGCGAGCCCGGCCACAAATCTTTCCCGTGGCTAAGTCATCCCTGCTGCCGGCTGCTCATCTTCCTTCTCTTTGAAAAGGGCCACTTCCCCTAAACCCAGGATATCCCCTATACGGTGGTTTTCAACCGAGACGATTTTCCCCAGGAAGGCATACTTGGCAAAGCCTGGAGACATTTTCGGTTGTCTCAACTGGGGTACTGCTTGCATCCAAGACTGGGATGCCGATAAACACCCCACAATGCACCGGACAGCCCCCGTAAACAGACTCATCCAGCCCCAAATGTTTCCTCCCCTTAGACTAAGGTAAAGAAAGGGCTACTCAAGAACAGGGTCACCGCGAGAAAGCTGGGACCCGTGGTACCACGCACGCCTAACCAGGATGCCCGGTTCCTGAGCCTGAGCCCGCCCTCTTAGTTAAGTACTTACTGTTAAGTACAAAGAGTATTTAAAAGCACTGAGTACTTAGTGCTTCGAGGCAGAGAGCCCGAACCTATCTTTTGCAACACGCGGAACCGACTGTTTGTTGTTGACTTGAGACAGGTTTCGCTAAGTAGCTCAGGCTGGCCATGAACTCTCTACGAAGCCGCAGGCTGGCCTCGAATTTGAGATACTCCCGGGATTATATGCGTGAATCACCACTCCTCTTTACCTGCCACCCACATCTGAGATTGCTCACCACCTCACTAAAGACGTATAATAAGGCCCGACAGATGCCACCCTTCGAGAGCACAGGAGAAAGCGACTCCTCACACCTACCCTGAAAGAGCGTGCTCAGCCTCAGCACTTTCCAAATCCAGGAGCAAATCCAGAGCTGTGGGAAGCCCGCAAAGCGCGCCCGGGCATGCGCAGACTGTGCATATGTGATGGGCGTGGCTTCCTTCGGGCTCCGCCCTGCCGCCTCTATTCCCCTACGCCCCGCCTCTGGGTGCGCTACTGACCCGGGGCGGAACAGTTACATCCGGGCGACTGGCGGCCTGCGGTGGTTTTGTTTTCTTGGCTGAGCTAGGGGGAAGTGAGGCCGCCCGGCGCAGTGTGACACCGGGTCTGGACCTTCTGCACCGGGCTGGACGTAAGTGCGGGGCGGGAAGGGAGGAGAGCGGCCACGGGTGGGCAGGGTCTGGACCCGGGACGTCTGGTGGCGGACGCGTCCGGGAAGCTATGCCTCGCCGGACCCTTCCTGTCCACTTCCTGCTGTCCTGGGTCGCGCGGCGAGGACAGCACGGTCGCATCCAGACCCGCCAGGCTCGGACTAGTAGGGAGGCCGACGAGTGGGGACAGCGGCCCTCCCGTGGGACATCCCCCAAAATCCCTGAAAATCCTCTGATCCCCCTTAAGAGTTGGACACATGGACCCGAAGAGGGATTGTAGCCGGACTGGTCCACATCTCGAGTAAAACTAGTTCCCAGATCTTCCAAGCCCCGGTCCACTCTCAAGACCTAAAATTCCCACAGGCTTGAGTGTGTCAGTAATCGTGCAAAGAAAAATGGATTCGGGGCGGGGCCGTTGTGCTGAACCGAAAATAACACATAGTGGGTTGCTGTTCCTCCCTTGGAAGAATAAAATGAATTGTCAAAATTGAGCTCATTCCAAAGGAATATAACCATAATTTTTAATAGTTAATTTTTTAAGGGACGTTTAAAGTTAAAGTCGTTGCACTCTCTAAGGTATCATGTTTTTGAACAATTACAATTGCTGAGTACAAAGTAGCTTAATAGAAAGGTTCAGAGAGATGCCCTGTAGAAGTTCCTTCCTTCCTCCCTCCCTCCCACAGGGTCACAACATCCTATGTAGCCCTGGCTGGCCTGGAACCCACTGGCGCCGCCCTCTTTCTTCAGCCTTCTGAATGCAGGAATTGCAGGCGTGCACCAGCATGCCTGGCAACTTGTTTCTTCCTTTTTTTTTTCTTTCCTGGCAGCACTGGGGTTTGAACTCAGGGCCTCACCATTGCTCTACCACTAGCGCCACTTCGCCAGCCCTTGTTTCTTGTTTTTTTTTTTTAACAAGTTTTATATAATTCAGGCTTTTTCAGTCTCAGAAATAGAGATGATGTATCTCAGGCCAGATCTGCACAACTCAGCTTGAAGGAATGGTTTTTATAATTTATTAGGATAGTTTAGGTTGCCCATAGTAATTTAAATAGCAGTGAATTATTTGTTTTTACTCTGAATTAATATTGATCTCAGTTCTGTGCTTTTTTTGGCCCTGGGGGAGGGGTGATGGGGGGAGACATCTTGGATAGAACTAAGGTGGGTGTTCTTTACATAAAAAAGATGCCAGAAACCAGGCACAGTGTCAATGGCAGCAGGCCTGCAATCCCAGCACTGAAGCAGGAGGATCTTCACTTCTGTCGAGGCCAGCTTGAGCTACATAGCAGCATCCTGTGGGGGGGAGGGGGGAGAGAATGAGACCAGAATGCAAGCTTAGAGAAGGAAAATAATGAGATAAAAGGAAATGATATGGAGAGAAGTAAAAAACACAATGTAGTGTTTATTTTCTTAACCCTATTATAAAGAAACATATTCTATTATAAATATGTAAACTCCTAAGAGAAGTATTTTTCATCCAAGTCTGTGCTTTTAGCTTAGAGCCAAAGTTTATCACCCCCCCCACCCCCACACACACTGTGTTAGTGCTCCTGGACTATAAATACCAAAAGCAAATAACTTAGTTTGGAATTTAAATGATATTAAAGAGCTCTTATGTATTAATTATCATTATACTCATTTATTTGAAGGATCACATTGTTAATGTACTCGGAAATAACAGGGTGTGACAACTTTTAGGAAGTCAACCAATAGTTAAAACTTTTTCTGTCTTTGGATGCTCACCTTTGTTCATATTATGTCAGTATATCAAAACCATATTTTAAATTAAAAAAAACTAAAGGAATCCAAATTTTGTTTTCCAGAGTTATAATGTGGCAATTCATCCAAAGCCCAACCAAATATTCTGAAGTAGTATATGGAGCCAAAATAAAGCATCTGTAGCTTCATTTGTATTAAATTATTACTGAACTGTTATTTTCCAGAAACAAAGGCCAGGTGTGAAGCAAGTAAATGGAAGTACTTTATTTTGCTATTTCTTTTGTTTTTAAGTGACCTGAAAAATGTCTGGGTTTCTAGAAGGTGCAAGATGCTCTGAGTGCATTGACTGGGGAGAAAAGCGCAACACTATTGCTTCCATCGCTGCGGGTGTTCTAGTAAGTGTCGGATGATTTGGGCCTTCGTTATTTTAGTGTGTTTCAAGTTCTATGTGATGCTTTGAAATCTGCACTTTTTTTTTCTTTGCCCACTGAATTTCAGCAAATGATTTTTTGTTTTGTTAAGGGTTTGAAATTTGATTGATAGATTGATTAGGCCATTGTAATTGTATGGTAAAAATGACATTAAAAAAACTTTATATATTTATTCATTACATGGATTATGCCTCCTCTGAATGTTACAGTGGGTGTTGAAGAAACAATCGGGTCAGGACCAGTCAAGAGATGTGATTGCATTTATCTGTAATCCAGAGTTCCTTCTCAGTCTCGTGAGAAAAATAGCAGGAAACTCATTAAAATATATTGCTTAGAAGTAACCTGTAGAATAAACTTCATACTTACTTTCCAAATTCCTCGTGGAATCTGATACTGCGGTTTATGATTTTAAGTGTCATATACTCTAAAGTGTAAAATTTTTTTTGCGGGGGGGAGGTGCCCAGAATCCAACCCAAAGCTTCACACATTAGGCAGTGCTCTTATCACTGAGATACATCCCCAACTCCTAAAGAGTAAATTTTGGGTAAATAAAAATCCAAGTTTAACTATCTCTTCATCTAATTTTTGACTTTTGTAATCTATGAAAAATAATTATTGTTTATTTTTCCAAAACAGTGGCAACATTTAATTCCATTGTAGAAATCCTGCTCTTATAAATATCTTTAAAAGCTTTAAATTTAGGTTTATGAATAAAATTGTTAATACATTGAAGATTTATTTTCAGTAAAATAAAGTGAAAAAAAAGTAAGCCAATAGTCCTACTAGCCAATAAAAATATGTCATTAATAGAGTACTTGTAAGAATTTAGTTAATATCATCTTTTTCCAGTATAGCCCTGAGTTTAAACCCCAGTAACACCAAAGGGAAAAGAAAAGAAAAATACATATATGTATATATACACACATACACATATACACATATATAAAATTTTGTAAATTTCTGTTCAGATGAGAAATATTTGTACAGTTTGTTTCATTATATATGTGTCTTTGAAAATATGCTGAACCAAATTCATTAAGATAAATTATAATGTGGTGTTCAAATTGAATTTAGAATTGCACCAGAGCCAGGCATGGTGTTTCATGCCTGTGATCCCAGCACTCTGAAGGCTGAGGCAGGAGAATCTTTAGTTCTGACTCTGCATAGCAAGTCTCAGGCTTGTCTTGGCTACATAGACAGACCCTGACTCAAAAATAAAGAAATAAGAAAAAATCACACCTGAAACCTTCATAGCATTGCACTGTAATTCATGAAAAGGAAAAACAGTTGCAGAGCTTGTTACTGCTTGTTGTTTCACAGCATCAAGAGCATAGCTAAACCTCTACCAATGATAAACCAGGCATAGTGCCCCACTCTTGTAATCTCAGCACTCAGGAGGCTAAGGAGGAGGATGAAGAGTTCGAGGCCAGCCTGAGCTACAGAGACCCTGTCTCAAAAACAAAAAAATACCAATGATAATTGTTCTCCATGCCTGCCCTTTGAGTAATTTTTTCCTCATCTTCAATATGTCTTTCTAGAGCCTGTAATATATCCATTGCAGGGCATTTCTTCTGTCAGTTGGAATCTGAGTCTTTTTTTACAAGATTAGATCAGAGAGAATTTAATATGACAATATAAGATATTAGTTGAAGTAGGCTTAGGGTACCTAGTATTTAATCTGCTAATAAACCATGCAAAAGTTAATATGCATGAAGCTGCTGGGACATTTAAGAAAATTTTGAAATTCATCAGAAGGGAGCTCTTCCCTTAGGTGCCTTGCCTCCTTTTTAGCTGGTAACAGCAGATGCTGTCATTTCTCCCTGGTATCACCGTTTTTGTTGTCTGTTTGCAGTTTTTCACTGGCTGGTGGATTATCATAGATGCCGCTGTGATGTATCCTTCAATGGCAGATTTCAACCACTCCTACCATGCCTGTGGTGTCATAGCAACCATAGCCTTCTTAATGTAAGTCTTCTTACTGACCCTGCCTGCCTAGTCACAAACTAAAACTGTTTTATGCGTAATTGTAAGACTTCAGATTTTAAAATGTTATCAAATGAACATACCAGAAATGATGTAAAATTCCACTAGTAGAGAAAGGCATAAAGAGGAGGGGCTGGTGGAATGGCTCAAGTGGTAGAGCACCTGTGTAGCACGCACAAGGCCCTGAGTTCAAACCCCACTACCCCCCAAAAAAGTGGCAGTCCTCTTTCCTGGTCTTCCTTCCATCTCTCTTCTCCCATCACTTATCTTCCAGCTTTTCTTTTTTTTTTTCTGTACTGCCAAGTTGACAGCTTTACATTTAGATAAAAACCATGTGCCTTGAGCCAGGTGCCAGTGGCTCATGCCTGTAATCCTAGCTACTCAGAAGGCAAAGTTCAGAAGGATCTCAGTTTGAAGCCAACTCAGGGAACTAGTTCCATGAGACCCCATCTCGAAAAGCCCCACACAAAGAAGGGTTGTCAGCATGGCTCATGCGGTAGAGTGGCTGCCTAGCAAGCACAGGGCCCTGAATTCAAAACCCCAGTACCAAAAAAAAACACCATGTGCTTTGTTATGGGATTATTCTTTTTTTTTTTTTAATGATGTTGTGGATTGAACCTGGGACCTTGAGCTTGCTAGGCAAGTGCTCTACCACTTAAGTCATGGCCCCCAGTCCAAGATTATTATTAATTCTTCCAACAAGTATTAAGCTGTTATATTCCAGGCTCTGTTCTCAATGCTGGAGAAATGGTAGTAACTAAAACAGAAAATCTGTTGCTTTATGGAATTTATACTCTATGACTGAGGCAGACAGTAACCTGAGAGAAATTCATAGCATGAATGGTAAGTGCAAAAGAAGAAAAATAAAGCAGAAAAGGGAGCTGTGACATGTCAGCAGGAGGTAGAGGAGTGTTACGTAGAGTCAAGGAAGGCCTTTCTAAGAGGTGATTTTTGAGTAAAGACTTGAAAAGACAAAGACACTGACTGTGGGGCTGTATGGGAGGATTCATTCCAGGCAGGGGGAGCAGCAAGTGCTGGACAAAGGCAAAGAGACCATTATGGCTGGAGTAGTTTGTTCAAGGGAAAAGGGGAACTGATGAGGTCAGAGGGGTGGTGGGTGGTGCAGATGGCATAGGGCCTTGTAAAACATTGTGATGAAAGCTTTGCTTTCATTTTAAGTGTAATGAGAGAGGTTTGAGCAGATGAGTGATACTACCTTATTTAATAGGAATATTCCTGCTTTTAAAAAAAATAGCGAAATTCACTACAAAGGTAAAGTTTTTTATGGTAGCAGTTTCATTAATATGACCCCACACTTCTCAACTTTTCCAAATGTATTTTGAGAACATTCTTGCACTCTACCAGTTTCCCACGTTCCTGCTATACTTCAGTTTGTTTCATATTTGGACTGTGCCTTTCCTATTTAGTATTTTTTATTTCTGGAGTTTGTGCCTGCCTTCCTTGGTTTTTTTGTTTGTTTGTTTTCTTTATTGATATAGTATACGTTTTGCTTTAGGACCCATTTCATTCTTAAATGCTGTTTTAGTTTGAACACTTGCTTACTATGTGCACTAAAATAGCCTTGTTCCGCTTTGTTTTCCCTAGAGTTTCTAACAGCCTTGTTTTGCTTGTATTTTCTGCCATTATCACATCCCTTAGTTTTTCCCAAATTTTCAATAATACTCTTTATTGTATTATTATGTGCCTTATTCTTCATCCCAGAAGTCCCACTCTGTCTGTTTCGGTGGGAATTGATTATTGTATACACCAACTACAGAGCTGTCACCATGGAATTTCCCTTTTGGGATAGGATCCACTTTTTTTTTCCTAGTTTCAACATCTTCATCTTTCTTTTCACATTCGTGTTGCTGGACCCCATCCTCACCTAACTCTAAGAAATAGTACAGGAAGATAAATTCTCTAACCCTTGTTTGTCTGAAAATGTCTCCATTTTTCCCTCACGCTTGATTCATACATTGTTCCTTGTCACTGTACCTCAGAAAATGGAGTCATTGCCCTGTTGTCTTCTGGCATCTTCTTCCAGTGTGGTGGATGAGTAACTGATGCTGGTCAGATTTTTATTCCTCTCTGCTCTCTGTGAAGATTCATGTTGCCTTTGCTTGGGAAGATTTTCTAGGATTATATCCTTGGTAACAACACCGTTTTTTCTTTCTGGCACTCTTATTGGCTGTTGCACAGACTGATCCTCTGTGTCTTTGATAAGTTGTCTTAGATTCTCATCTTTTTGTCTTTTTGTTCCATGATCCAGGAAATCACCTTAACTTTATCTTCCAGTCTGTTGAATGTTTTCATTTTTGTTCTCATTCCCTTTTTTTTTTTCTTTGTCCTTTACCGCCCCCTGTTCTCATTCTTCAATTCCAAGGGCTTTTTCTTGTTTCAGGTGCCTTCATGTTTATTTAATTGTTACTGCTTCATTAAGGGGCTAACTATCTGGAGGTTTTTGTTTGTTTGTTTTGTTGTGTTTGTGTTTTTTAAGATGGTCCCACTATGTAGCTCAGACTAGCCTCAAACTCGAAATATTCCTTCAGCCTCCTAAGTGCTGGGATTATAGGCATACACCACCATGCCTGGATCCAGTTTACTATTTCTCAGGGTCTTTTTGTTTGTTTGTTTCTCTTTTTTTGGCAGTTCTGGGGTTTTGAACTCAGGACCTACATCTTGAGCCACTCCACCAGCCCTTTTCTGTGTTGAGTATTTTCAAGATAGGATCTTTTGAACTATTTGCCTGGACTGGCTTCAAACTGTAATCCTTCTGATCTCTGCCTCCTGAGTAGCTAAGATTACAGGTGGGAGCCCCACTGGTGCCCAGCTCTATTTATTATTTTAAACTTTACTATAAAATATACTCAGTGAAGTACCTACAACAGTGCACAAATCATACATACATCTCCATAACTTTTTGTGGGGTTTTTTTTGTGTGGGGGGGGGGCGCTAGGGATTGAGCCCAGGGCCATGTACATGCTAGCCAAGCATCTACCAGTGAGCTACACCCCCATATAATTTTTACTTATGTATATGCCATATAAATAGCCTGTAAGCTTAGCTACTTGGGAGGCTAAGATGTGGAGAATTTTGAGGCCAGCCAAGGAAAATAGTTTGAGAGACACCCATCTCCAAAATAGTTAACACAAAATGGACTGGAGGTCCAAGCAGTAGGGCACCTGCTTTGCAAATGTGAAGCCCTGAGTTCAAACCACAGTCCCACCAAAAAACAAATAAAACAAAAAAGCCACGTTTCTATCACACCCGAATGTTCCCTCTTGCTTTTTCCCAGTCAGTACTCCACACAGCCACTGTCTGCAGGTTTTCTGCAGACATTTAACATGGAATTTGGTCATTCCTGTTTCACTTAGTCCAGGTTCCAAATTTCCCACTTTTAATTTTTGCTATGCTTATTTGTGCACAGAGCAAAGGTCTCATTTCAGAAGCCACCTGATAACAAAGGCTTTCATTAAGGCCAAGCTCGTAAGCTAGGAAGCTGCCATTCTGTCGCATTTTACCTTATTAAAATAACTATGCTGTCAAAATCCTTTGGAAAGCTGACACATTTATAAAGTTCAACTTTGGTTCTAGGCTGGAGGTATAGCTCAAGCAGTACAGCACCTGCCTAGCACGTGCAGAACCCTGAGTTCAAACTCCAGTATTCCTCACCTTCTTCCCCACCCCCTCAAAAAAGAGAAACATTGGTTCAAATTTAAAAGTTTTATTTTTGTGGTGTTATTTACTCATTTCACCCTGCTGTTGCCATCAGATCTTTAAAAAATTTTGTTGTTCCCTTGTGAAGCAGTGGAGCCCTGACTCTGGAGGGAAGTGTGCCATGCATGAGAATGAATGTTCTGTGCAAGACAGGTTTTCCTGTTGAACTTGTTGGGTTTTTTTTTTTTTTTCTTTTTTAAGACAGGGTCTCAACTATGTAGTCCAGGAGAGCCTCTAATTTACAATCCTCCTGCCTCTACCTCCTGAGTGCTGAGATTCCAGGCATATGCCATCACACCTGGCTCTGGACTCATATTCTGCTGGGTTTCTGGTTTCACAACCATGGCAGGTCTGACTCTCAGGTTTTCATTAGCCATCTATTTGGCTTCAACTTATTTCTTTTCATGATAGTGTCAGACCATAACCCAGCAAACCTACTTTAAGTTAAAACAGTTATCATTCCGACAGGAGTCAAAGCAGCTACTCTTTCATTAATAACTTTTATTCTTTCTGTTACTATAAAAGTTCAACATGCTGAGGCACTGGGGGCTCACACCCATAATCCTAGTTACTCAGAAAGCAAAGATCAGGTTCAGAGCCAGCCCAGGCAAATAATTTACAAGACCCTATCTCGGAAAAAAAATTCCATCACAAAAAAGGGCTGTTGGAATGCCTTGAGGTGGAGGCCTTGAGTTCAAGCCCCAGTACCTCAAAAAACAGTTTGATGTTTTTTTTACTTTTAGTGTTAATAAGTGTTCTGTGTGTTTCTTGCGCTCTCTCTCTCTCTCTCTCTCTCTCTCTCTCTCTCTCTCTCTGTGTATTTCTTTTTTTTGGAGGTACTAGAGTTTGAACTCAGATCCTCATGCTTTCTATGCAGGTGCTCCGCCACTTGAACCACTCTGTCAGTCCTGTTTTTTGTGTTGGCTTTTTCAAGATAGGGTCTCAAGAGCTGTTTCCCTAGGCTGGCCTTCCTGATCTCTGCCTCACAAATAGCTAGGGTTATAGGCGTGAGCCACGATGCCTGGCCGGTTAGTCTATATTTTTATTTTCAAAATGTAGAATATGCTAATAAGCAGGAAAAAGGAAGTTAGCCTGCTGCTGGTGGCTCACGTCTGTAATCTGAGCTACTTGGAGGCTGAGATCGGGAGGATCACTGCTCAAGACAATCCCTGGAAAGTAGTTCAAGAAACATCCATCCCCAAAATATTCAGAGCAAAATGGACTGGAAGTATAGCTCAAGCAGTAGAGTGTCTGCTTTGCAAGTGTGAAGCCCCGAGTTCAAACCCCAGTCCTGCAAAAAAAAAAAAAAGTTACCTATAACCCTGCCAAACTGTAGCGTTTTGATTTATACCCTACCAGTCTTCTTTTCCTGTTCTCTTTCTCACACATATCCACTCTTCTCTTCCTGAAAAACCGGGCCACTGTTGGGTGGAGGGAGGGATGACAGGCGTCCTCGGTAGAAGGGCAAGGCAGATTGGCAGAGCTGAGGCAAGGTGAGAAGCGGGTCCCCAGAGGAGGGCAGTCTGTCATGGGCTCTGGATCTGGACAGGGTGAAGAGGAGGTCTGTGCAGCAAGGGTGGAGGGAAGGCCACCCTCGTGGGATGTAGAAGTCTAAGCAGGGTCAGAAGGCTGTCCATAGTGTGCAGGAGCAGCAGTCCAAGAACAACTATACCCTGAAACAAAGAGCACAGCTAGCTTCCAGGTCTTACTAAGACTAAATGAAATTACAGCTCTTCAGAGATGTGACTGATTCCAGAGCTACTGTACAGGTGCACATGAGCAGACTGGACCATCTTGTGCACGAAAGCAAAGATGCTCACAGAATGGTGGGGTATGTCAGAAGGACATAGAAGACATCTTGAAATTCATAGTCCTATGAGATTACTGTTAGTAATCTTGACCTTTTGAATAAAACAGGAATCTATACTGATGTAAAAAAATATGTAAAGTTTGATGAGAAGCAAAATATATATATATACTCAAAGTGCTTCCCCACAGAACATTAGCTAATCACAGTGAGGATAACTTATGGTAAAGAAGTCAGTAGAGCCCACCTTGACCAAGCAGTCAAAGTGAAAGTCACCATGGATTGAACAAAGCAAAAGCCTCTGCTGCCGAAATGCTTGGCGTTGAGGAAAACATTGTCATTTCTGTGTTATTTTTGCCATAGATATATAACCAGAACTTAATTATGTAGAAACATTAAGCCTGCATTGAGGGGCGGTCTACAAAATAACTGGCCTGAACGCTGAGAATTTCAAGGTCATAAAAGTCAAAGAAGACTGAGAGACTGTTCAGACTCAAGGAGACTAAAGAGACCTGAAAACAAAATGTGTCTCATGATTCTGGACAGGAGTGGGACATCGGGGGAGTCTTGAGTAGAGTCTGAAGATAAGGTGATGGTCATGGGTCATAATTGATTGTTTTCCACTAGGAGAACAATCTTGTTTGTAGGAAATACAAACTTCTGAGGTTTGGGGCATCATGTTTCAGGAGACAAACTGCTCATACTTGTAGCTTTTCTATAAAGTTGAAAGTACATATAAAAGTAATACTGTTAGAGAATACATAAAGATTATTCATTTCAGAATGTCCCGAATAGTGGAGAGAGAAGCATGGTGTCTTGTCAGAGGGCTATGCAGTTTATTCAAACGACTCAACAAGGAAAAATGAGCTAAGAACCACTAACTTAAGAATGTCTGCATTTTTAAAAAAATATGCTGGTTTTAAAATTGTATTTTATATATAAAATACTTTAATATAGATATCACCGAAAATAATTATGAGTATTTGTATATATTTTGTTTGTTTGTTTTGTTTTGTTCAAGGCTAGGTCTTGCTGTGTAGCCCAGTCTCGACTTGAATTCATAACCCTCTTTCCTCAGCCTCCCAAGTACCAGGATTACGTGTGTGCACCACCATGCCTGGCTTTGTTTTTTTATTTTTAATTGACACGTAATAATTGTATTACTTAATAGGTACAGTGTGACATTTCAATATACGAATGCATTGTATATTGATAAGGTCAGGGTACTTGGTATATCTGTCACCTGAAATATTTATCATTTCTTTGTGTTCATTTGAAGTTCTTTCTACTTGCTATTTTGAAATAAACAATTAAGTTATTCTACTGTGTCCATTAGAAGTTAGTCTTCCTGTCCAGCTGCAGCCTGTGCCCTTAATGACCCTCTCTTCATCTCCCCCCACCCCGCCCTTTTCTCAGGCTCTGATAACTTTTGTTCTACTTTCAACTTATGACATCAACTTATTAGCTTCCCCACATAAGTGAGAACGTGCAGCATCTGCTTTCTCTGCTTCACTTACTTTGTTCTACATAACATTCTGCAGTTTATCCATGTTTGTGCAAATGCCAGAACTCCATTCTTTTTAATGGCTAGATAATACTCTATCATGTGTATGAACCATGTTTTTTTTACCCATGCATTCATGGATGGACACCTAGATTGATTCTGAATTTTAGCTGTTGTGCACAGTATGGCTGTGAACATGTGAGTGCCAGTGTCTCTTCAACATACTGGTTTCATTTCCTTTGGGTATGTAGTCAGTGGGGTTGTTGGGTCATGTGATAATTTAGTTTCCCTGAAATAATGGAGTATTTTCATCATTTTAGAACATAAATAAGATGACTTTTGTGAAACACTTAAGGTTCATATATTCCGTACACTTACTGAATGCCTGTCATTTTCCAAATCTTGTGCTAGGCACTGAGAATAAACATGGGAAGCCCTGGGTTCAGCCCCCAGTGCCACAAGGAAAAAAATGGTCTTGCCTTCGTGAAGTTCCTGATATTCTAGTGCCTGTGTATGCACATGCAACCAAAATGGGTATAAACAAAATATAGACAGTATTTTATAACTTCCGCTTGACTCATTTTGGTCATTTCCCCTGTGGGATTGAGAAGTATTCATGGGATGCTCCTAAAGAGAGTGAGGCCATCTCAACTTCCCGTTGTGTTTCCTGAAAGTCAGAGAAGACTTCTCAGGTATAGAACATTGTCAGGCAATGATCAGAAAACAAGACTTTACACCTGAACTTTTCTCTGATGATATTTTCAGAGCAAGAAGTTCTTTGTTTTGGGCTGGGGATGGCACTCAGTGGCAGAGAGCTCGCCTAGCATGTGCAAGGCGCTGGGTTCCATCCCTAGCGACACACACAAACTGTAAAACACTATTGTTTTGTTGGAATGCAATTATTTTTCCAAACATCAGACATTAGTACAAAATTATAAGGAATTATTCGAAAGCCACCTTTGTTTTTCAACCTGACTAGAGCATGTCTGCCATTGCTATACGTGGTTCCATGTTGAACACTGTTTCAGTCTTAGCAAAATAAAATTTTGTATTCAAATTTTAACAAGCATTAGAGTCAGATGACTGTTAGAACTCAGATTTCTGGGCTCCAGAGGTTTGCTTCAGTAGGTTTGGGTGAGACCAGGAGTTTTCTTTTCAAACAAGTTACTGGGTGATTATGTGTCTTCCAGCCTAGGGCCCACAACCACAGCTTCAAGGTGTCCTATTGAGGGATCTTGCCTCAGGTCATGTGAACCCATTGCTCAAGACTAATGAGGCCTTACCTTGAATTTGGTGGACTCTGACTTACCGTATCTAATAATTTGATGTCATGGACAGCTTCTTCGAGTCAAAGGTCTGATTTCTCGATTTTCTTTTCTTCACACAGGATTAACGCAGTATCGAATGGACAAGTCCGCGGTGATAGTTACAGTGAAGGTTGCCTGGGCCAAACAGGTAAAGAGCTGCAAACATCTTAACTACCATGTTTCCATCTTTGAAATGAAGTTCATACATAGAAGGGCACCTGTCTCACTCTTTCAGGGTGGACAGAATGGAGAGGGATCTAGGGCATAGGTGTTGAGTTCCAAGTCACATCTGGTCAAAGTTGCTGGATAGTGCAGAATGCCCAGTGTTGAGTGTATGACCTTGTGCAATAATAGGTCACTGTGAGTGTCCACAGGGTGCAGAGAGAGCAGTAGATAATACCACATGTGCAAAGTAGATCATAAAGTACTTCAGACTACACCAGGTAAACAATTGTCTTCTCTTTTTTGCCAACCGTATTTGGTTGAATGAGCATTTTGACATACTTTAGAATGATAGAGCTGGTTTTTTGTTTTGGTTTGGTTTGACTTTTGATGGTACTAGAGTTTAAACTCAGGGCTTCGTGCTTGCTTGGCAGGCATTCTACCACTTGAGCCATACCCACAGCTCTTTTTGCTTTATTTATTTCTTGTGTATCTCATTTTTGCCCAGGCTCACCTGGATGGTGAGCTTCCCACTTAAACCTCTCACATAGCTGAAATGACAGGAGTGTACCACTATACCCGGCTTACTGGTTGAGAGGAGGTATCACCAACTTTTTGTCTGGACTGGCCTCAAACCACAGTCCTCCTGATCGTTACCTTCCTCATAGCTTGGATTTTAGGCATGAGGCACCTTGTTTTTTTGCCTGGCCTTGTTTTTTGGTTTTTTTTAATGTGGTGCAATACACATAATATAAATTTGTCATCTTAGCACTTATGCATGTATAGTTCAGCATTAAGAATGTATTCAGTTCGTCCAAATTGTTGCATAACCAGTCTCCAGAACTCTGACCTTGCAGAGGTGACCACATCTCAAGAGTTTTACATTTTGGTGCTTGGGCTGTTGCAGCCCCTTCTTGTGTGGGGACTCTGAGCCCCTGGACTCAATGATTATGTCACCTGAGGGTGACACAATATGGAGTATGCGGCACAGCTTTCCACAGAGTCTAGTTTACTCAAAGGTTTGAAGAAATAACTATTCATCATTTGTAATTTAAATGATGAACCTAAATACTGTATCCATACGAAATAAACTTAGAGGCTGTGTTTGGTGACTCATCCCTATAATCCTAGCTACTTTGAAGATTGGGAGGATCAAGGTTCCAGACCTACCCGTATAAAAAGTTCACAAGATCCCATCTCAACCAATAAAAAAATGCGTGGGATAGTGGCATGTGCCTTGTCATTCCAGCAGCATGGTTCAGGCCAGCCTGGGCCATGAACCTATCCCAAAATAACTAAAGCAAAAGAAAGGTGAGGGGTGTGGCTCAAATGGTAGAGCACCTGCCCAGCAAGCATGAGGTCCTGAGTTTAAGCCTCAGTACTGCCAAAAAAAAGAGGGGTGGGGAAACTCCTAGATATAAGCAAATTTCAATGGACTTTTTATTTTTAAGTAAAGAAAGAGAAAAACACTATTCTACCATAACCCTGTAAACTCTGAAGGATGTAATAAGCCAGTGATAGCAATACCTAGAACCAGCTGTCATGTCTTTGTATAAATAAAATTTGTTACCTAGCACAGCTTTGGGGTCTGGAACTAGTTGTATTTATTTTAATATCACATCTGTGCATAACAGCTTAGTATTTTATTTGCTGTGCTTTATTGAGAAGCACTGGTTTGTTAAAATGTATTTCTACTAATTCAACAAAGAGACTCAATCTCAGTATTCATTTGAGCCAGTCCAATGATTCCATTTTATTTATAGCAAATCTTTATAAGTATCATATAAAGGTGATTTAAAAGTTGATTGTCCTCTGTTAACATAATTTTAATGCAACTTTCCTAAGTGCCAACCACAGTCAATTTCAATTTGCTTGAATTTGTCTGACTTCCCTAAAAGTAGCTTTTTGATTCTGTACCACTGAATGTGAATTTTTAAAACATGTATCTGTGTTATCTTTCGAAAGTGCTTTTGGAGGACTTTCAAATTTGGAGCAGTTTCTAAAAATATATGGAGAATGAGCTTCTAAATGTGGTGAAAGATGTTATGAAATGTTTTATAGGAAGGATGAGTACAGTTTTTCTCAGTGTAAGTACTGGAAGAAAGGAAATATATGCACTTAGAGTATATAAGTCAATAAATACTAATTTTTAAAATGTCTTTACAAGCCCACAGACTAAGCCAGAAGAAAAAGGCCACCATCTCCACTGATGAAAAACCCTTACCACATCTTCTTTTCACAGTTCTTTAGACTTTAACTTTATTCTGTTTGGGTTTTGTTTTCCTTTGGAAGCTAATTCAACTGACTGTTCCCTTATGATCAGCGATTCTGGTAAATGTGGTTTCTTTTAAGGTGCTCGCGTTTGGCTGTTCATTGGTTTCATGCTGGCCTTTGGGTCTCTGATCGCATCTATGTGGATTCTCTTCGGCGGTTATGTTGCTAAGGGTAAGAGAAAGCACTGGGCGCAGTCATTCCAATGGAATATGGGATTTTGTTTTAAAGTTGGCTATTTTAGAATAGTTTTTTTCCATAAAATGGGTTATACCTGGGGGCTCCCTTCGCCCATTAGTGGTTGGTTTTTGTATTATATGTTTGGCATTCCTTCTGTTTTTTCTTCGTCTAGAGCCTGAAAGGAACGGGGCACGGCTCCAAACCTTGCTTCTGTTTGCTTCCAAAAATCTCAAAAGCAGAATATATGTTCTTCCCCTATTTAGCAAGTTTTGACTCCCAGGATAGTATCTGTGTTAGACTTTTCAGTTCGCGATTGGCCAGTTCCATTGTTTCTGGGCCATGTTGAGGCAGAACATCATGGTGGGAAGGGGTTGGAGGATCAAAGTTGTCACCTCATGGCTGTAGGAAGCAGAGTGGAGTAATAGGAAGGGGCCAGGGGCCAGACACACCCTTCATAGACCTACTCCCAGGGACCCACTTCCTCCAACTAGGCCTCACTGTCCATAGTGCCACCACCTCCCAGTAGTCTAGTCCCACTTATGGTCTATCAGTGAATTGAACCACTGATTAGCTCAGAACACTCGTGACCTAGTCACCTCGGGAAATGCCCTCACAGACACCCGAAGGTGTGCTATACTAATCTTCTAGGCATCTCAGGCCAGTGTAGCTTGCAGTCAAGATTAACATCCCCCTGTTCTGCAAAGTCCCACCCTGGGTTGATTTTTCTTTTTCCTTTTTTTTGCAGTGCTTCAAAGGGCCTTGTGCCTGCTAGGCAAGAGCTCTACTACAGAGCTGTGTCCCTAGCCCTTGTGTTTTTCTGTTTTTGTTTTGTTTTGAGACAGGGTCTTTTTATGTAGTCCAGGCTGGCTGGCCTGGAGCTTGAGATCCTCTTGCCTTCACCTATTGGGTGCTGAGATTACAGGTGTGCACTACCATGCCCAGCCTAGAACTGAAATTTATTCACTTAAAGCCTCCCTGGTAGAATGTCATCTCCATTATGTAGAATAATTAACATTTAATTGTATCTGCCTACCGCCAGTTTAAGGCAAGCTTGAAAAGGCATATTGTTAGATCTCTTGCTGAAATATCACCTTGAGGGACCCCAGAAAAATACGGAAACCAATTAATGATTCAGGTAAAACTGACTGTGTACCTATCATAGTAAAAACATAGCATTTATGATTTGCAAAAGTTGGACCACCTAGATTCAATTTCTTTCTTGTTTGCTTAGTTGGTTTTGGTTTGGCGAGGGTTTGGGGGTTGTTCTTTTTGAGATAGGATATTGCTGTGTAGCCCATGCTGGCATCAAACTCTTGATCCTCCTGCCTCAGCCTTCAAGGGCTAGGATTTCAGAAGTACACCACCACACCTGACTGGTCCCCATCATGACTTTCCATCATGTTACTGCCATCGTCCCCCCATCAATTGGGGTTTAAATTCAAGGCTTTGCCCTTGCTAGGCAGGTGCTCTATCACTTCAGCCCTACCTCCAGTCCCTTTGTTTGTTTTTTTTAAATAACAAAATCCTTTCATTTTATTTCTCCCTTTTTAGAGTTAAGATATATTTAATTAGGTTAATTATAATTAAATATAATTAATTCATGGGTTAATACCCATGAATTTCATTTCAAGTTAGTAAAAGGAGGTGTTACAGTATTCGCTAAAGAGTGTTGACTGGAAGCCCTTGGTGTTGGTGTCCAGTGATCGTGTGAAAGCAGAACTTGAAAAAAAGCCCTGGACACTTTATTGGCTCCAAACGAGGCCCATGTGTACACTCTTCCTCTCATGGTGAGGCTGCTGGGCCATGGCAGCCTGGGAGCGTGGCAATCACCACTGGCATTTTTCTGAATTGAGATGGTATAATCTTAACCACTCTTAAATGTTCTATTGTGTTTCCTTTCGTTTGCCTTTTTATGTTTTTATGTAGCTGTTATCATATTAAAAGTATAATTTTGGCCCCTGCTTTTTGCACTTAACATATAATCAGTTGTCTCTTGCTGCCACAAAATCTTTATTTTAAATACAAAAAATTTCCTACGTGAATTGCATAATACTGTTTGTTTTTGAAAACTGAGAATATAAAAGAATTAAAAGGAAAAATAAATTCTTTCTCAGATGCAACTATTAACACAGAGCCTGTTTCTTATAGAACTTTCAGTTATTTTCCTAAAGACTTCTTTAATGAGGTTATTCTGTAAGAATTATTAGCCAGATCTGTAATTTATAAAGTTGCTATTTATTTCATTTTAATGAGCCATTTTGGAGGCAATGTGTATTTAATGTGGAATAGTGAAAGACCTAGACAAACCAACTGCTAAATTAATCAGATTAACCGTAACTGTTTTGAGATGCAAGAAAGTGGACAGTGAATCTGTTTGTTGAGTGCTCCTTGATGGCCCCAGTGGGAGAAACGCATGAGCCTCTCTTCTCAGTCCCAAATACAGCCAGAGCTTGGTGTTTCTGCAGTTGTCTTTCTCACCTTGGTTAAAGGCTACAATGTCCTTCCAGGTGTGTTGGCCAGAGATGGCATCTTGCCAGGCACTGGTGGCTCATGCCTGTAATCCTAGCTACTCAGCAGGCAGAGATCAAGAGGCTGATAGTTCAAAGCCAGCCCAGGCAAATAGTTTGTGAGGTCCTGTTTCAGAAAAAAACCCTTCACAAAAAAGGACTAGTGGAGTGGCTCAAGTGGTAAGAGTGCCTGCCCAGAGAGTGTGAAGCCCTGAGTTCAAACCCCAGTACTGCCAAAAAAAAAAAAAAAAAAAAAAGCACCTTTCTCTTGCCCTCCATATCCATCCAGTTCCTTAGCTAACTCTGTGGACTGTGCTGTGTAGTACCCTGAGTCTAGACACTCTGTACCATCCATTGCTGCTGCTGTTGTTCAGTTACCACAGTCTCTTGGCTGATAGCCTGAAAGGGCCTCCTGAAAGGGCTTTCACTGCCCCCCAATACCTTTAATCTTCTTTCAGCACAGCAGCCAGAAAGATCCTGTTAAAATACGTCAGCCCATCTCACTCTTCTGCTCAGAGCCTTCCAGTGGCTTCTCATCTTACTCAGAGTCCTCATGGTAGCTGTAAGGCTTGACAGGACCCTCACTGCCAACCTGCCCCTTTACTCCTCTAATCGGTCTCCTACACTTCTCACTTTCATCCAAGGGCCCATTTCTCTACTGTAGCAGCATGCACCCACCTCAGGGCCTTTGCACTTGCTGTTCTGCACTTCTGCGTGTTCCCACCAGCCTTCACTTGCTTCATGTCCTTGTTCTGTGTCAGCTTGTCATAAGGTCTGCCCAGCCACCTGTGTCTAATGTCCTCATTTGCTACATTTCCTGTATTGTCCTGCTTTGTTTTCTTTCCTTGTTACTCTGCATTTTGTCCTGTCCACAAGGATAAAAACTTTGCCTGTTTGTTTATGCTATATCCTCAACACATTGACCAGTGTTAATGCACAGTGTGCCCTCTGTAAATATTTGTTAAATGAACAAAGGGAGCTACTTGTAAGCCAGTGCTAGACTCTGCTATGAGGATTACCTTGATACAACAACCATAGCTACCAGGAAAAATAAGTGATGTTAGGCCGAAAAACTGACGTTTACCAATGTATTGAAACTCAGTGTTTCAAGATCATAAGCCTGTAACCATTACATTGTTTTTGCAGAAGAGCACCCAGTATATCCTGGAATTGCAGTATTTTTCCAAAATGCCTTCATCTTTTTTGGGTAAGTTTGTCTTGCATTCTTCATCTTATAAATTTTTAGTTTCTTTTATGTTATTCACTATATTTAGTTGCTTACTTTACCCGTCTGATATCCCTCTTTCATAAAATATTTTTACAAAATACGAAGAATGAGGTTAAGAAGGATATTTTTAATACATGGGTTAGTTTGTTACCAACCTTGGGAACGTTAATTATTTTAAATTGCCTCCCCCTCCTTTAATGAACACTGTGATTCTTGTAGGTTCGGGTTCATAACACTGACAATGTTAACTTTAAATGGAGATCGCTAATGTTGCTTTTAGTGAAAAAATCTGCTTTTAAAACCATTTTCCTATGGGAGCAAGATATGCCAAGCTCAGAAGGACAAATGCTATGGAATCTAGACCTAAAAAAATAAATAGTAATATGACTGTTGAGGGAGGACTGTTGCTGGGGGCAGCAGAGGCGGGGGTAAGGAGGCGTGATGGAGGTGACTATGATAGAAATGCATTATATATATGGGAGGGAGTAGTATAATGAAACCCGCTAAAAACTTAAAGGGGGACATGGGAGTTAAAGCGTATGCGTGGACTGAGTGATTGTGCTACACTATTTGTAGTGTGTAAATATTATATTGAATCCCCTTGTACAACCGACGTACGCTAATAAAATTTTTTAAAACCATTTTTCTTAAATGTTGGTTTTTGGTACAGGTGTGGTTCTTTCCTGATGTCATTGGGATTTGTGAGTGAAATTTGAGTTGTGCAGGAAAAGCTCTAACAGATGTTACCCTTCTGATGCAGCTGCAGATGAAAAGATTATAGAAACCCCCCGCGCCAGTTTGTTCATCACTGATCTCTTCTGATGTTCATTCTTCCTGGAAACTTAGTGCTGGCCTTGCCATGCCCCCCCCCCTCGGGAGTTCCTCACCTGTACGCCCTGAGGGCTTTCAGGGAAAAAAAAAAGGTTAAGCCATTGACTTATGCAGAAAGTAAGAGCAATCAAAGTTGATCGAGCAGATGCTGCGTGATGGGCCTCATTCTTAGTGCTGTGACGGTGGCTCCGCTGTTACCCCATTTCTGTGAGCAAATGGCTTGGAAGAGTCAGGCAACCGCCTGGAGACTGCGAGGTTCTAGTTCAGACCCAGGTTGCCTGACACATACGCACAGGCGCTGGCTGCTGTGATGAAGGAATCAGGAATTCAGTTGCCATTTTCTCCTTTTGCTGAGTCTCCAACCAGCTGCTCAGTACTAGTTGTTTCCTTCCCTTTTCTTCTTTCTCCTTGGGTTTTTTTGTTGTTGTTGTTTTGGGCTTTTTTTAGTGGGACTCAGGGTCTCATGCTTGCTCTATTGTTTGAGCCACACCTCCAGCCCTTTTTTTTGTCTTTTTTTTTTTTTGGTATTGGGATTTGAACTGAGGGCCTACACCCTGAGCCACTCCACCAGCCCTTTTTTGTGATGGGGTTTTTCAAGATAGGATCTCATGATCTATTTGTACGGGCTAGCTTTGAACCGCAATTCTCCTGATCTCTTTCTCCTGAGTAACTTGTATTGCAGGAGTGAGCCACTGGCGGCCAGCCCCTTTTTCTTTTTTTAAGATTGTTAATACTGAAACCAGAGTTCTGGAACCCAGGCTCAAACTCCTGGATTTCCACTTTAGGTCTGGCCACTCATCCCTATATGTCAAAGAAAGAGACAGTAATAGTGAAGGGCAGAGAAAGGAGGTTTATTACATGGCCCAGGATACACCATGGGAAGGGGCAAAGAACTCAGCCTGTCTTCAGCCATCTTTGGGATATAGACGAGCTTTAGTTTTAACTAGACAGTGAGCTGGGGCAAGGGTCAAAATATGCATAGTGTTGCAGGAACAGTACAGAAAGTACGACTGACCAGCGAGAATGAGACTCAAACCCAGGTGGCTGGAGGAAAGGAAGGTTTATTATGCTAACAGGCCAGCACCTGGATATCTCCAAAATGGCGCAGCCCTCGAGTTCAGGGTGGCTGTGGTTTTTATACTGAGAAAAACAGCAGCAACAAGTAGGGAGTGCAGAAGCAGACTTGGCGGTTAGCTGTTCAAGGTTACAATATATCATGTTAGCACAGCTGTGGACGAAGGCCATTGGCAGTTTCTAACAAGATAGCTGGATGCAGGGGCCCCAGCTAAGGGGAAGGGCTTTACTTGTCTTTGGTTGTTTTCCTAGCTTTGATCTTTCTCTGGGTTTCCTTACAATAGTTAAACAGTCCTGTTACAGCCCAACGGGTCATTATCTCAGTTCTGGTTCTGAGACTCCAGATAGCTATATGGCTGTCATCACTTGTCGGGAACAGTCTGGTTCCTATGAGATGATTAGTCCAGCTCCAGCATGCAGCCTTATCATTTTAGGTAATTTTCTTCATTTGGGGGTGTGGCCTGTCCTACATGGCTCACCTGTTCCTTGGGAGTAGTTTTGGTCCCTGTCATGAAGATGTTATCGATCCATCCGGGCGCCAGTGGCTCAACCTGTAATCCTAGCTACTCAGGAGGTAGAGATCAGGAGGATTATGGTTTGAAGCCAGCCCAGTGGTAGGCTCGTGGTTTGTGAGACCCTATTTCAAGAAAAAAATCCATCACAAAAAAGGTCTGGTGGAGTGGCACAAGGTGCAGACTGAGTTCAAACCCCAGCACTACAAAAAGAAAAAGAAAAAAAAGATGTTATCGGTCATTTCTGTCCCTCCCAATTCCAAGGTGGCTGCTGGAGAGAATGGCTCAGCGGAAAGGACAGCAGGCACAAAATGTAGACAGACACCAAGCTTCTCTCCTGTTTTTAGTTAATTTGTAGGCCAAGTAAAGAAATGGCATTTTTCAGCCAAAGCAGTTTTAAGTACCTCTTACAATACTGTACTTGGAAAATATAAAATGATAAATAATCCTTCACCCCCCCCACTCCTAAAAATGAAGTACGTCTGTTACTCTGTGGGATTGTGTGGAGTGTGCTGATGAGAGGGAAGAAAGCCTTAAAATTAAGTTTTTTTTTTTCTTTTTTGCAGTGCTGGGTGCTAAGGGTTTCTTTCCCTTTTATGTTGGATACTGAGGTTTGTGTTTTAAAGAATCAGGTATCCTCTTTTAGTATTTCCTCAGGATTAGAGGTACTTTGGGGGACTTAGCACCCCACAATGCCAGCCAAAGGAAGGTGGCGTCACATGGCGGGTGGCGGGGTGAGATACACTCCAGGATGGAGTGGGGGGAAAGGCAGACTGAGAGCAGCTTATTTAATCATCCCCTGCAGAAAGGGCAGAGTAAGTGCCACCTTGGGATGCTGCTTTTAAGTTAGTGTGTCACAGCAGGGAAGCAGAGGATTGAGAGAGGAAAATTTATGGGGAAGTTTTGTTTCCAGTGAGGGAAGAAATATACAACTCACACAGTAGTTATCACATTTCATGAACCTTGGAAACTGATTGTTAACTTGTCACTGCCCCACAGGAATTATGATAAGTTGCTTTCATATGCAACAAGTTTTGTTAATTTCTCATTTGTTACTATTATTCAATTTTAAAATGAGTTAGGTTTTATGAAAATACTATAAACAAATTGAAATGAAGTTCAACTGATGGACACTGTTACTAAATAATTATAACAGATTGCCTACCATTCTGATTTATGACGAGCAGTACTTAGCACAGGTTAGAAATCAGAGAAGACAAATACCAGTGCTAGAGGTGACCATCTGACAATGTGGGCAGGACTGGCTCTCTCTCAAGAAACTCTGATTTTGGTTCACATCTGTTAACTGGTAGGTTGAAGTTACTGTGTCTCTTCAGCTGTCTGGAGAGAGACCTCTAAGAACCAATTTCTTTTTCTTTTTCACCACAAAACTTCTGGTATTAAGTAGAGTCACTTTTGGGGGGTTTATTGCATCCTTTTATAAGGAAAAATTAATATACGTCCAAGTAAGGGTATGATTAACTTCCTGATTGCGTATTTTTTCATTTTTAAAAAATATTGAAGTGTTTGCCTTTATAAAGGCTTTATGAAGCCATTTCAAATTGGTCATTGTAACTGGGCTTAACCTTGAATGTATACTGGTAATTTGAAAGCAGTGTGTACCATTAAAATGTCTGCTTCTGTCTTCAGTTTCTCCCTCCCACTTACTCCACCATCTGAGTCCATTTGAATCTGCCTAAGAATTGTCTTAAACCTCTTCTCTTTTCCCCATTTTGTTATTTATGTTTATCCTCTCTGTTGCTTGGGCAGCTCTCATCCCTCTGATCCAGTTTTCCCACTGTCAGTTTTCCTTCTGAAACAAAGCTCTAGTCCTGCCACTTCCTGACTTAAGGGTTTCAAACCCTGAGCCGTCCACAGAAGAGACCAGAACAAGTGACCAACCAGCCAAACTACCCATAGTTCTAGTGGTTGTTTTTTCTTTTTGTTTTGTCTATATAGTATTTTATTTTATGTTATGTTATGTTATTTTGCCAACATTTAAAAGATTTGGGCTAGGGGCATAGCTCAAGTGACCTATGGTTTAGTCCCCTGATTTCAGTCTCTAGTACCACCAAAAAGAGAGAGAGTTGTCATAAAAATCTGAGTTTAGAGGTCTGGGATGTGGCTCAAGTAGTAGATAACCTGTCCAGCAAGCATGAGGCCCTGAGTTCAAACTCCAAACCCCCTCCCTCCCCGCATACCCCTCCACTACCACCACCTGCCCCTGGCAAGAATATATTGAATTTTAGCTTTACTTGAGAAACTGGGAGAGCTGACAACCCTGGGCCCCAGACATTAACAGTCAGCAAAGGCCAAATTGTTATTCCTTTAGATAGGGGCTGCCTCTCTGACAACCCCATTTCATGTTCTGCTGAGGCTGCAGACCAGCTGCCCCTCAGGACCTGCAGACTGGTCTCTGGGAAGCTTCCTCCTGCCAGTTGGCCCACCAAAGCCTGGCTGTCTCCATTCCCTGTCCTTTCTCTTTGGCTACGGTCTAGCATGTTGGAGTCTTCTCTGTTCTACTACCCCTCAGATAGCTTTTTATGCATATAATTGCCCTCCTGTGCTTCTGAACTCAATGCCTAGAGGACAGCTGTGGACACTCCCCAAACTCTATAGGGAAGTTCTGGGAGAACAGAGTCCGTGATATACCAATTGTCTGGGTTTTTCCTGGGTCCCCCTGCGTTTTTGGTTTGGTTTTATTTTTGAGGTTGGGGGCGTTGTTCTTGCTGTGTTTGCCTAAGCTGGCCTCAAAACTCCTGGGCTTAAGTGCTTCTCCTACCTTAGCTTCCTGAGTAACTGGGGCTACAGGTGGCACTGTGCCTGGTAAGACTTTTTGTTGTTGTTGGGGTGGGAGGCTGGAGGTGCAGCCGAGGGCTTCATGCATCCTACATATACATGGGCTGTACCACTGAGCTGCACCATCAGCCCTGATCCCATGGGCTTTTAAAAGCCTCTGCCTCCTATTTCCTCTTCCTGAAATATCTTCCTTCATTGTCTCATTAGCTACGTTCCAACCAGCCTCTCATTCGGGATCCTGTTTGTCCATCAATTCCATTTCAGATATTCCCACTCTATAAATCCTTTTCTAACCCACTCAGGCAGAATGATTCTGTGCTTCTTTGCTCCTTTAATGTTTGGTATGTATGCCTCTCCCCACCCCCTACGCTTACCACATCGCATTATCAAATGTGAGCGATTTGAGGGCTGTGTATCTTTTTAAAAGTCACATGCATCTCTAGGGGAGAAGAGATGGAAATAGCCCCGTTGATCCTAATGGAACAACTCACTGCCCTGGAGAGATATGTTCCATAGCAAATGCTTTTTATACACTCATCTTTGTTGCTTGCTTCCCTCCATTCTTAAAATCTCACATGCTCTTTCTTTCACAAGCACAGGCAATCACCTGATGCTTCTTATTCTATCCACAGTGGGCTGGTTTTTAAGTTTGGTCGCACAGAAGATTTGTGGCAGTGAAGACATGGGTTTCCGGCAGCACAGCAGCCCTGCATAGGTTTTTTACCGCTCACTCCGTCTCTTTTGTAATGCCGTCTCTTTTGTAACTTGAAGTTACGTGATGCTAAAATCATGAGAAGTCCCTACTTAAACAGCAACAGCAACTCGATCTGTCCTGTATGCACTTGATCACCTTAGATAATGTTAAAGGAACTGCTGCACGTGAGTAACTTCTGTCAAGTTCTATCAAGTATGATTTGTAAAAATAAAAGACAGAAAAAAGAAACAGTGGATTTGTTGGTATGGATGTTTGTTTGATCTGAGGTCCAAACCTGCAATGAACATGCTCTGAAGAGCTAAATGTGTTTATTTAAATGTGGCTTCTTCTATGTCATATGTTAAATATAAACATTATCTTGTTTTTAAAAACTACTCAGTGGTCAGAATTCTTTATTATACTTTGTGTTTGGTATATACGGTTTTATCAAAAAATCCTGTAAACATTTCAGCATAAGCAGCATTTGAGGGTCTCCAGAAAAGAGAAGCCAGTGACCCACCCACCAGACTTCTGTGCCCACCTCCTTTTTTCTTTTTTGAGTTTTAAAATGAGTTTATTAAAGAATGTTCTTGGGCAGGCAACCACTTTTGATTTGTCATTTTAAAAAGTTAACATTTCTTTATGGTGTATAATAAAAGAGAATACATTTATAAGCTTTCTACTGATGTTTTCTGATAGCAGAGCACAGTGAAGTCACTTCTACAATGCTAGAATAAATTTTCTTAAGTCTCTTTTTTTTTTTTGTCTCTTTAAAAGCAATGAGTAGGGGCTGGGTGTATGATTCAGAGGTAGAGCACCTGCCTAACAAGTGTGAGGCCCGAAGTTCAAACCCCAGTTCTGCCGAAAATAAAAAGAGAAATAGATGGCATAAGAAAGCCACTTTTTCCTCCCCAATCTGTAGTATTGAAACCAGTATTTTTATCATCACAAGCTACAATTTTTACCTTATCCAATTTAATAAGTTCTGTGAAGCAGTATCATTCCATATAAAAAGTCCACACATGGCAGCATCTGTATGTATCTAGGGAGCCCCCAAAGTCAACTGTGTTCCTGGCCATCCAAGCCTTAGGGGGAGTAAGCTGCTTTTTCTTCAGGCTCACATTGATGTTTTCTCCTGGCAGAAGGCCCCACTTTTCCCACCACCTCTCTAGCACCCCAGAAACTGCAGGGCCAGGCCCACAACCTCCTGTGTCCCTTCTGTAGGGATCTCTTGCTGTACCACTGATTCAGGGAGAAAAGAATAAAACTCAGCAGTGACACAGGGTCCTGTGATGGTTCACTCCACAGTCACTGTTAAAGAACAGGGACTTGATACCCATCCAGTCTCTCACTCAGGTGACAACATTTCTTTATTCTAATAATAAATTATATCTTGTGTTTCATTTTATCTCTGAACTGGACCACTAAGCTCAGTAGAGCAGCCAGGTCAATTCCAATCACAAGCTTTATCTGCCAGGAGCTCCCATCATCTGAACTCTTGTTCCCCTAGACTCCCTGCCTCTCTAAATAGGGTATGTGTTCTTCAGAACTGCAGTTTGAAATGCTGTCTTGCATAAAGCATGCTGCAATTAGCCTTCCATGTAACAAACTCTTAGATGACTGAAATGCAAGGGACTCCACACAGGTCATCAGGTTTGACTATTGCCTGGCCATCAGGACACTACTCAGAGAAATGACTTACTGTCATCCCCCATGAAGTCACACATGTATCTTCTGCATGGATCCACAGAACGTAAAAATCACAGGGAACTGGAAGTTGAAGTCCACCCTCTCCTTTTTAACTTTAGAGTACCCAGACCATGGAAGCCTAAATGATTTTCTCAGGATCAGAGAACTAGTTTTTCAATCCTGAGGCAGTACATACCTGTCCCACAATTGGCTCCAACCTTTTTCCCCACAGTGCAATTCAGTATATGCTCAGGGAAAACCAAGCACCTTATAAAACTGCAGTCTCAAAAAAAAAAAAAAAACTGCCTGATCTGGGGTCAGGCAGGGTGACTTATACCTGTAATCCCAACTAAAGAAGTGGAGATCAGGATGACTACAGTTCTAGGGTGACTTATACCTGTAATCCCAACTAAGGAAGTGGAGATCAGGATGACTACAGTTCTAGGCCAGCCCAGGCAAAAAGTTAATGAGACCCCCATCTCAAACAATAAGCCATGTATAGTAGTTTACATCTATAAATCCCAGCTACATGGGAGGCCATAGGCAGAAGGATCGTGGCCAGATAAAAGCTGAAGACCCTACCTGAGAAATAAAAACAAAAACTGAAGATGTGGCTCAAATAGAATGCCTGTGTTGTAAGCATGAGGCCCTGAGTTCAAATCCCAGTACAGCCAAAAAGAAAAAAGTCAGCAAGGGACAAATATAAGTGAGGTTTTTTGGGGGGAGATGCAGGGGTCATTGGGGTTTCAGCTCTGGGCCTTGCACTGCTTTGGAAGCAGGCACTCTACCACTTGAGCCACGCCTCCAGCCCTAAGTTCTTCATTCCCCTACTTGGTATTCTGAGTTCTGCTACTATAGACAGGAGTTAACTGAGTGGCGCACTTTATTAAGCCAGAGAAAGACTAACAATGGTCAATAGAATTGACCCGAACCTTAATTATGTGTCTGCAACCCAAAATATTGATAGCATCATCTTTAATGAAACCAAACACGTTGTTTAAAAGTACTACTAAATTGCCACTTAGACAAGCAAGTTTTCAGTCTGTTAGTATCAAACCTCTCTGACCACATTCATTGTACACAGGAGACTTTGCTATAATGAGTACTTGTCACATACATAGGTAGGCAACCGGGAAGGAAGTTGTCTTCTTTCTAAGATCATCAGCCTTGTTATTCCTGGATGCTTTCGCTTAAAACTCATCAGCCAAGTGAGGAAACTATAAAAGCAAAACAAACATTCTTACTACAGACGAGCCCGTATACTACTCTTACTACATTCGTTCAGATTCTAGCTTGAGTTCTTTGAAACTTACCCAAACCTCAAAGTCTCATCACAAAGACTTGCGAGGTTCTTTTATAAAATCTGACTTAGAAGAGATCTTGCTTTGTTAGTTCTTTACATGGGTGGTCCAATAGTAATCTGGCTTTTGTTTGAATGCCTCCAGTGGCAGGGTCTCCCTCTTAACGGAGTGCTCATTCCATTTTGCAACAGTTCAATCTGTTAGAAATGGATATGGGCCAGGTACCAGTGCTCATGGCTGTAATCCCAGCTACTCAGGAGGCAGAGATCAGAAGGATTGTGTTCAAAGCCCTGGGGAAATAGTTCATATGACCCTATTTCTCAGTGTTTCAAGTGTTTGAAAGAGGAGTTCCCAGGTCTCCTTTGGGTCTTCTGATACCATTTTGTGTGTGTGTGTATGATGTGCAGCATCACTGTGAGCTTGAATAAACATGGGTCACAGAATCCTGGGGTTGGAAATCAGGGCAGCTGACACCTAGAGTGTTTCTATGGGCCTGTCCGTCAGAGCACTAGCATTCCTAATCATTGTCTCCTGTAATCCCCCCACATCCACCCAGTGATGGTTACTAGTGCTATCTGCAGTTTAGAGGTGGGGAAACTGGATTTCTGAGAGGTCACAGGTGAAAGCATGAGAACCCAGAGGTGGCTGGCCCCAGAGCACATGCTCCAAGAATGTGGATTTTTTTTTCTTTTTTTTTTTTTTGCTGTACTGGGGTTTGAACTCAGGGCCTACTTGAGCCTCTCCACGAGCCCTTTTTTGTGAGGGTTTTTTGTCGAGATAGGGTCTCATGAACTATTTGCCTGGGCTGGCTTTAAACCATGATCCTCCTGATCTCTGCTGCCTGAGTAGATATGATTACAGGCGTGAGCCACTGGTGCTCAGCTAATGGAATGTTTTGGTGATTAAATGTTCTTATTGGGTGGCTTATCAGCTCTGCAAGTTTGACCCCTTGCATTTCAAATGGCTATTTGGTTTCCAGGTGCAGGCCGAGTGGTAGGTAGACTGCTGGGTACATGGCTCTACTCAGCTGCAAGTGAATAATGAGAAGATTGCTCAAGTGGTGCCAGTGGTGGTGGTGGGGACAGAATTACTGCTCTCCAGTAGCTGCCCTGTGTCCCTTTGGAGCAACAGACACCTGTTTAAATTCCTCTTGTCCTATCTACTCACTCTGTCACTTTGGACAAGTTACTTAATCTCCATAGGTCTCCATGTCCTTATCTCTTGGACTGGGATACTTGCTGTCATGCAAGATTGTTGTGAGGGTAAGTAAAATCAGATAACGTTCAAAGCATCTTGCGCAAAATCAAAACATTTGCACATTCGTCTGTGGTTAGCCTAGCCCCTTGCAATAAACTTTCGCATTTTATTCTGTTTGCTTAAAAACAACCCAGCAAAGAAGAAACAAAGATGACCAGAACAAAGATTACCATTGTTAGCCAGATGTAGTGGGCCATCCCAGCTATACGGGAAGGGTAAATAGGAAGATCGTGGTCCAGGCTTTTGGGAGCATAAAGTGAGACCCTATCGGAAAAATAATTAAAGCAAAAAGGACTGAAGGTGTGGCTCAAGTGATAGAGTGCCTACCTTGCAAGCTGGAGGCCCTGAGTTCAACTTCAAAAAAAAGCTAAACCAAAAAAAAAGTATGCACTGTATGATGCTATTTATACAAAATTATAGAAAATGAGAACTAATCTGTAATAACACAAAGTAGTTTGATGGTTCCATGGCATGGAGAGAGCAATTTCAAAGAGTCACAGAAATTGTCTGGGGGTGGTAATCTGATCCTTGTCTTGAGTGTGGTGACAATCTCCTGGGTGTATATACATATGTTAAACTGTGTCTATATACTCTAACTATGTGCAATACATTGCACGTCATTTATAGGGAAGAGGAGGAGGAAGAGAAGTAAATAGAGAAGAGGTAAGTTCTCTCTCCAGTTCCTCTGCTTGGCCTCTGCTGGCCCATGTCCCCAGGCTATAACAGGCCTGTGTCTGTTCTTTTAGTGGTCAGTATCTTGGATGCTGGTCCTTGGAAAAAGGATTGGCTTAGGACTCAGAAGTCCTGGCTCCTAGCCTTGTCTCTTCCATTCACAAAGATACAAGGCTGGGCCTTAACCTGACTTCTGTCAGCCAACTTCCCTTGGCCATATTGATCCCTGCATGTCTGCCTAGAGAGAGAGACACTTGTCAGAGTGCTTTGTGAACTTGAGCTCAGTCAAGGGAGGAGAGTAGTGAAGTGATCAGGGACCAGCCCTGACCTCTCTAGCCCAGTTGTGACCACAAGTGCTACAATGTACCCTTGGCAGCGGCCAAGGTGTTTGAGTGCTATGTCCCTTTGCTAAATGACCCCAGACACCTCTGCTCCACTAGGCACAGTCTAGATTCAGCTGTGATCTTGGACTCTCGGGCCCCTCACTGAGCATTTGTCAACGGGTTTGGACTGAGTGTCCCGAGGTTTCTTCCACGCTCACACTACAGGGTTCAGTCATGTTCCTGTCAGGCCATTTGCCCACATTGACAACTCCAGATTCCAGATGGGGAGGGGAGTGTGACCAGTGGACTTCTCTCATCTCTTGACCTTCAGTGACCTCAATGTATCAGGGAAAGGATACAACTCCCCACTCCACCAGCACACATGCACGCACGCACGCATGTGTGTGCTGGATTTGCTTCTCCTTGGTGCCCTTTTTGTCATTTTCATTTGTTTCTTTTTGCTCCCACAAACACCTGTATACACTCAGGTATCTTATGTTTGTGCACTCAACTCTGTCATGTGACCAGCTTAAAAATCTTACCTTCCAGAAAGTTTGGTCATCAGAGTCTTTATCCCCATGAGGTGCTCTCCATATGTTGAGGTCTAAGAGCATACCTTAAAAAATAATAATGAAATATGAGAACATTTGGAGCACAGCCTCTGTTATCTCAGGTTTCATCAAACTATGGCACAGAGACTACAGTATCTCAACAGTGATCCCGTGTCTCCCTCAACCAGGAGACAAACGGAAGCACTGTCAGTCCTGGACCACTTCACAAATTCTACACACATCTAAATGAACTGGTGACAGCAACGTTCACCAAAGGACTGAGATTGCACTGAGCAGTATCCAACAGGTACAGGTCTGACAACCTTCCCAAGATACAACAGAAGGGCCCTGGTAGAGGCAAGTGTGATAGTACACACCTATAATCTCAGCACCCAGGAGGCTGAGGCAGGAGAATTGCAAATTCCAGGCCAGCCTGGGCTACATAGGGAGACCCTGGCTCAAAACATAAGCAAACAGCAAAAGGGTTCTGGCAGAGAAGGACCTAATGCAAAGCCGGTCCATTCAATACCATGGAGAGGTGGAGGCGCCCACAGGTCGGTCTGCACTGGCTCAGTACACCTTACTGGGCAGCCTCAGCCCAAGCTCCCACTGGAGCAGTGAGGAGAGAAGTTTATAGTGACTTGCTTTTGTTCCCACTCTTCTTTCTTCCTGTCCAGCCTCTGCCCAGATAGCTCAACCCTACGCAGGGCCTCAGCTTCACATAGTCAACTGAATTTCTTCCCAGGATATATTAAGGGAGCTTTCATATGAAGCAAAGGAATGTTCCTGATGCATTTATCTGTGTGCCTTTATGTGCATGTATGTGTGTTTATGCGTGTGTGTGCATTCATGCATGTGTGTTTTAACAGATGGGGTCTAGCTGTGTTTCCCAGGCTGGTCTTGAACCCCTGGGCTTAAGCGAACCTCCTGCCTCAGCCTCCTGAGTAGCTGGGACCACAGATGCATGCCACTGCACTCTGCAGTCTATCTGCTTTTAATGATAATTGGTTCCAGTGTATGAAATCATAGGATTAGCAAGGGTAGGGGTATGCTTAGTGAAATACATGCTTTTCTTTCACAGGCCTGCCTATAACTGCACCTCAATGGCTAGAATTATTCAGAATCTGTCTGCTATTCGAATTTTCCAGCTAGCTGAGGCTTACTCACCACTGATGAATATCCATCTGAAATGTTGTTTTGTCTTATCAAACAACACTGAACATATTTAGAGACTTAAAAAGAAAAACCAGAGCCGTCACTGGGAACACCCATTATGAAACGTACTCTGTAATGTGGAGAAGTGCAGAGACAGATGCTGAGGGCCAGTGGACTTCTTCCCTCAGCAGCCCAGGCTTTGGTGTTCTTGTGTCTGGTCTTAAGAACTGTTTCTCCTCTGTTGGGCTCTAGGATTCTATTTATAACTTCTACCAGTGTGTGCTACCTCTAGAAACCCACCCGCCCCAAACACCTTAGTTTGCATCTACCTGAGCTAAAAAATCTAATGACCATGCTTGATAAAAATGTTTCCTGAAGCTGTGTACCTGTGGCTCATGCCTGTAATCCTAACTACTTGGGAGGCAGAGATCAGGAGGGTAAATAGTTTGCAAGACCCCAACTTGGAAAAAAACCCAGTGTAAAAAAAAAAAAAAAAAAAGGCTGGCAGAGTGGCTAGAGCATAAGATAAGATTGCCTAGCAAGGCCCTGAGTTCAAACTCCAGTATTACAAAAAACAAAAGTTTCCTGAGTAAGTACAGACAGGCTCCAAACAGGGAAGTCTCTTAACAAGTTAAATGCCTGGCTCAGGAGGTCAATTTGGGGTACTTTGTTTGCTATGAGGATTTTCCCCCTATTCTATTGTCCAAGTTGGTTTGGGGGTGTTGGTTGTTTGTTTTTGCAGTGCTGAGGATCAAACCCAGAGTGCCACTCGGCAGGCCACCATACTATCACTGAGCTGCAGCCCCAGCCCAGCCCATGGTGTTTTTAGCAACTGTTCCCTAATGTCATAGGAAGACCCACAGAAGTGATATGGTGTCTTCTCCTCTGTTCTGACTGCAGTGACATGTAAGGGGCACCCCAGGTGCTGATGAGACCAAGCCCAAGTCAGCACCCCACCTACAGCACCAGTGATGATGGTGAAGGTGTGAGTGCAGGTCCAGGGCTGCAGATAAACGTGGGCTGCCTGTGTTTTCCTTTGCTAAGTCTGACAACCCTAGCCAGAGTTGGACGACCACCCACCACAAACAGAACACTTACTGTGGAGTCCACTGGACTCCACCGCCACTTGATCACCTGACTGTGAGACACTGAGGCACACATTGGTCCATTCAGGTAATTCCAGCCAATCTTATCTTACGTTCTAACATCACCCAGGTAACTTCAGAAATACCTTCTTCTATTTTTTAAAGCAGGAAGGATGCTGAATGATTAGTTTCTATAATCCTTTCATTTTATGGCGTAGCCAACAAGGCCTAGAAAAAGTAAACTGACATGCCCAATGTCACATAAATAACTCATTAGTTATTTATCTCTGTCTCTCTTTCAGCATTTACCTCCAGCCTAGTGACACAATATATGGATATCTAACCAATAAGAGATGTTTGCTTGTCGGTTCTGGATGGAATGCATATTTATACTTGGCGAGACTAATTAACAGCCCCCTTTTTGCCCCTCTTTCATATCACTGGAGCAGAAACATACCGCATTCCTATTGCAGGATCTCCAATGGCTTCCCTCCTCAGAATGATGTGCTTCTTGCCTTCAGCCCATGTGCTCTCCCTGCATACTCCATCCACATCAGCCACACTGGCCTCCTTGCTGTTCCCCCAATACACAAAGCATATTTCTGCCTCAGGGCCTTTGCACTTGCTGTCCCCTTTTTCATGGAATGCTCTTCCCCTGAATAAACACCTGGCATGTCTTACTCCTCTTGATTTGGATATCTACTTACAGGTCAGTTTCTCAGATAAGCCTTCCCTGACCAGCCCTCTAAAAGAACACCCACCCTCACGGACAGAACTCGTTATTCATTAGCTCCCTACCTGCTTTGCCTCTGTAGCCCTCATCATCGTCCAACATAGCATGTTTTTCTTTCTCTGTTTTCAATACACTCCCCAACTAGAATGTCAATTCAGGGAATTTCTTTTGTTCCCTGTTATGTCCCCAGTACCTGGCTCATAGTAGATAGTGAATAAACCCTTGTTGAATAAAGTAGCATTTAGATTGTCCCCAGGAAATAAACCAGGCTTTTGGCATAAAGGAAATCTTAGCCTTTTGTGCAAAGTTGGGTGCAGTCCTGGGCTGAAGGACTGCACCTATGCCACCCACCCTCACTTAGGACTTCAGGGAGGTCCCCTCCTTCCCCAGCCTCAGGGTCCACATTGGCAGCCGGCGACCCCTGGAGGCCTTTCCAATTCTTCAATTTTTAAAAATCAAGATTTTTTGCTTTCCTGAGCTAGAGCTAAGTGTCAGCGCACAGGTCAGGGGACAAGTGCATACACAGTCAGCCACAGGGCAGAATGTGCTTTGGCCCTGGTCCTGTGTCCAGGGCACTGATGGAAGAAGGGTGATGTCACACCAACCTGTTAGGAGACCAGACGCCATACCCATCACCACAGCCAAGCTGAGAGCCCCAGTGTCGTTGAGCACCTGGTAGCCGATCCTACAGATGAAGAAGCAGAAGGGTGACTTGGGCATTAGGCCGCAGAAGTTACCAGGGACAAAAATGACCGTTGGCATCAGTAGTGCCATGCCAAGAAGGACCATGAGGAGACCAAGTGTCCTTTCCCCAGCTGCTGCATTTCCCTGTCATTTCCCTACAGAGCCATGAAGAAGTGGGGGTGGGGGGACAAGGGTCCCAGGACCTTCTTGGCATACACATACACATATATATTCATGTATAGATATATAAATTAATGTATATATGAAATACTGGGCTTGAACTCAGGGCCTCATGCTTGCTTATTAGACAAGTGCTCTGTCACTTGCGGCTCACCCACAGTCATTTTGCTTTTAGTTTTATTTTTCAGATAGGGTCTTTCGGGTTTGCTGGTGCTGGCTTCAGACTGAGATCTTCCTACCTCCACCTCTCATGTAGCTGGAATTATAAGCATGTACCACTATACTCAGCTTCTTTGGCATATTTTATTCCTTAAACTCCTCTGCCCCCTCCCCACCCATGGATGATAAACTAAACCAGTAGTCAGAGACCCAAGTTCGAGTCCCAGATCTGTCACTTACTAGCTATGTCCTGGGCAAGTCACTTAACCTCTCAGGGTCTCTAGTTTCCTTATTAGATAATTGAAGGTAAGGTTTCATTTCTTTCAGGGCAGATGGGGTACAACTTGGCTTTTAGATCCATCTCCCCTGCCCATCCTTACTCCTAGGATATACTTCTCTGTCTGTTCCCTTCTCAAGGTCACCCAGGGCATCACTTTCAAAATCAAACTATTAAAGAGACCCTGGGAGGATGAGTGTGATTTTCCCAGGGTTCAGCCTACACGTGGATACTGTTAGCCACTTCCGTGCAGCACTACTGACAGCTGTACAAAGCAAGCCAGTTTGGAAGCTGTTCCTGTTTCTCATTTCAACAGTTTCCCAGGCAGGTAGGCAACTGGTGTCCCCATTTTGAAAACAAAGAAAACAGAATTCTAGCACCCAGGAAGCTGAGGCAGTAGGATCCCAAGTTTGAGACCAGCCTGGGCTACATAGCAAGTCCGGGAAAGTAGAGAAAAGGGAAGGGAAGAAGAGAAAGAAAAGAAAAAAGAATGTGTGCACTGCATGACTCAGTATTATTTCTGTGTAGCTTCACATCACTTAAAATTCCACAATTCATGAAAAATACTCCATTCCATCTCTGGGTATAACATGTACAGCGTCCATCACAGACACTCCTCGGGAGGAAGAAACAGGCAAATATTGTTTGGAGAATGAATCAAAAGTCAACTGACTTGGCCAGAGTCACTAAACTAGTAAAGTATCTGACGCATCACATTAAGTATCCTGACTGCGAGCTCAGTCTTCTCCCACCCTTCCATTATAGAGGCACCCCTTGTGGAATCACCAATCCTCAGAAACAAGGCTGCCATGGCTGAGTATCTACCCCATGCAGGCACTTTCCTGAGCCTTTATTACATACGGCTAAGTTTTCACGGCAGCATAGATCTTACATCTTACAGATATAAATCGAGACTTTAGGGCTGGGAGTGTAGGCTGGAGGTAGAGCACTTCAGCCTATGTGAGGCCCTGAGTTCCATCCCCAGCGCTGCAAGAACAGAAAGAAAAGGAGGGAGGGAGAGAAAAAGAGAAAGGGAGAGGTGGAGGGGAGGAGGAGGGAGGGGAGAGAGAAGGAGGAGGTGAGGAGGAAGAGAAAGAAAGAACTGAGACTTGGAGAGCTGGAGTATCATGCCAGGGTTACACAATTGGTAAACATGACCTTGGACTCTCTCTCTCTGAAGCCTGGGTCCTTTACTTCCAGCAGACCAAAGGCCTCTCTCAAAGGGGTCATTGCAGTCACTATGCCCTTTGCTCTGCCAGATTCATGCAGAGCTGAGAGGACAGCTACGTCCTGGTCCTCACTGAACTACCCGAATGAAGGTAACTTGCATAGCTCTCATCTCTGCCAAGCTGTGTTCAGTGCTACCACCTTGACAGGGCAAGGTGGGAGTGTTTGCACCACATCAGTCAGTCAATGCTAGTGAAGGCTGTTTTCCTGGAAAGCTGGAAGGACACCATTGATGACCTTTTTTGGCTATAGGCTAGTGGTTCTCAAACTCAAGCTTTCATAAGAGTCACCTGGAGAGCTTCAAAGAAGACGGCTAAGCCCCACCCTCAAATGTCTAATTAAGTAGATTTGGGGTGGGGCCTTAGGATTTCCATTTCTAACAAGTTCCCTGGTGATGAACCACTGCCCTAAGAGAACCCAGAGCCTTAAAACTGGGCACCTAGAAGGGCAGACGGTCCACAGGTGACAGGTTGGCAACCCACAAGCAAAATTCAGTCCACCCAATGTTATTAATGATTTTGAATGTTTATCAGTGTTGGGAGAGTACATTCAAAACTCTGGACTTCTGGCTTCTCTCTCTAGTGACACTGAGCCTGAGTTCCTCATAGTGATGGTGGCCTGGACCCGGAGAGTGACTATCAGCCTCCCTTGTCTGCCTGGTTCCTACAGGCATCTGAGTTGGGCACCCTGTTAGATCAACCCCTCATTTTCCACAAGGGGACTCTAAGGCCCAGACAGTGAAAGTGATTTGCCTGGAGTTGCACAGCTATTAAAACAGTGGCAAATACATCATTAGAGCCCATGACTGAGGTGTCTTGTTCACATGAACTACCCCGTCCCCATCCCAAACAGGGGGGTCCTCCTCAGCTCAGCAGCTTAATCAGGGTGGATGGCCCACCCATGCATGGTGTCTATCATTTGGGGCTGTGGTCATCTCAATTGTTGGAACTCCAAGGGATCCAAGAGCTAGTGGAGGTCCCAGCCTCTTCATGTACTCTCTGAGACCTCCAAACACCAGGAACCCACTTCAGCCACCTAAGGAGCCAAGTTCCAACCAAGTAACCTTGACAGATAACTGCCCCTAAGCAAAATCTCTTAGAGTGTGATAATATCTCCCAAGGCCCTGTGAAGATTAAATGAATAGACTTTTACCAGAAGGCCTAGTACTTAGGATGCAGTTAATAAACAATGATTAGTGATTATCAGTAATACTATCATCCCTGTATCAGTTCCTCTATAAAAATGTGTCCTGGTACCATGCCCGTCGCTCTCTCATTTTATGTGAACCATGTCCAGAAAAAAACCTACCCGGCCTCCAGGGTGCAGTGGCCAGGGCTTTGGTGTGTCAAATAATCATTGTTGCCCCATTTCTGGGAGACACAGGACCCCACAGTCCCACAATTGCACCCACCGCATGACCTCCGCCAAGCCCCTTCCCTCTTTGGCCTCAGGATGACGGGCTGGGCCTAGCGTTTTCCTACATTAATTTAGTAAATCCTCTTAACCGTACGGTGCACAGATCAGGTGACTTCCAACAAGCCCATGAGTGGCAGCGCCATCATTGTCTTCTTCATATCTAGGCGGCAAGGCCAAGAAAGGTTTGACAACCCAGCCAGGAAGTGATGGGAATGGTTTCAAGACCAGTCTGCCTCCACAGTCGGGCTCTTCACCTTGACCTCAAACACCACAGTTTATAAAACCGACCCAGTAAACTTAGACCTGATTGACCTACTCTGCCTGCATTTGTGGGGTCTCTTGACTGTGCCTCTGTCTGCCCTGCACCTAAGCTGCCCCTTTTGGGAAGAAGTGACCTGAAGAGGTGATAACGCCATATGAGGTAGGGATCGAGAAGAATGTATGAGTAAATACTCAATTAAGCCTACTGAGGAGTTGAGTAGACCTGGAGCGCCATCAGCACAATGTAGACAAAGCCTCCGAGCAGACCTGGCACGCCAAAGGTGGAGAGCACCTGAATCTCAGGCACCTGGGGACAAATGACATTATAAGCAGATCCACAAGGGAGACGGTTTCCCCCTCCACCCTTTGCACAGATCCTTTGACACCAAAAAGGGATGGACACAAAGTTTCACCTTTTTTCCCAAAGATCGGTTTGAACTCGGCCTCAGTCTTGCTAGGCCCCTCCACTCCACCAGCCCTTTTTTGTGTTGGTTTGTTTTTTTTTTTAAACTGGGTCTCATGAACTATTTGTCGGGGCTGGCTTTAACCTCAATCCTCCTGATCTCTGCCTTTCCAGTGGCTAGGATTACAGGTGTGAGTCACTGGTGAATGAATGATCTTTGAATAGTGTCCCTCCCACCAGTGATAGAGTCAAGGGAACTGAGGCACCAAGAACGTAATGTCACCAAGCAAGTGGAAGCTGTCATGCATTCTTTGTTGTGACACACTCCTTTCATCTCTAGGTTTCAAAGCCAGAGAAGATAAAAAGACATTTGTTCCCACTGCAGAGAAGAAAAGCAGACTGCTATGTGTGTATGGAACACCTCCCCCACCAGCCAAGAATGATACACATTGCCAAGTTAATCCAAGGAGCCTCTTCTCCAGAGAGGTTGGAATTAGGACCACAGATTCTACCTGGCTGCTCTCTTGAAGAAAAGTCCACATTCTACCATGTAGACTAGGAGAAGAGGAGGATGAACCACAGAATAAGAATAAATCAGATATTCAGGAAAAATAAAGGATTCTTGGCATCTCCCCATATACTGGTCCCTGGTGCCAGCCATTCCTGGGTATCCTGTGGCATCTGTGGTTTTTGGGTTCTGTGACACTCTAGTAGACTTTTAACTTATGCTTGAGCAAACTTGGATGGGGTATGTTACCTGTTCTTCATGATCCTATTCAATGCACCATCCAATTAGGGTGGGTCCCTCACCCAGGCTTTGAAGTCAACCCAAGAAAGTGCCAACACCTGCCTAACGTCAACTGTGGCATGAACAATAGCCCACCAGGGACTTGTCTAAACCAAAGCAGAGTGTGTTAGTTGTCTAATTCCTTACGTGCAGGCACTTGGCTCCACAGATGGATATCAGCCCAGCCATAAGGCCCAGCACCATGGCAAGCCAAGGAGAAGAAAGCAGGTGGCATGGGGTGCCCACAGCCACACCTCCTGCCAGAACTGCATTGTGGATATGAATCTGCAAAGAAATAGCTTATTGGTGAATAAAGTGAGGCACAGAGAGGATGCCTTTTTGCTCAGAGTCTCCCAGGAAGTTGGCAGCAAAGCAACCCTGTAATGATCTTCCTGGTTCCTGAATCCTGAAGACAGACTCTCCTCTCAGCTGGGACTACATGACCTTCACCCAGGCTCAGGGAGTAGTCACCCTGATTGGGAGGCGTTTAGGGAACCAGCTAGAAAGTACAGTTTCCAGCATTCAGGCCACCCCTCAGGCTCATTGGTGATGTATCCTTGGGCCCTTAGAAGAATGGAGTTCTGATTACTCCAATTTCACAGGGTTCTTATAAGGACTGAATTACCATAGATAAAGCTCTTAGTCCAGGGTTTGACTAGAACATGAAGAATGCTTAAGAAATACAGCCAATTTTTTTTTTTATTCTTATTGGCTACTTGTTACCTAGGCTACCCTGTGTGACTGGATCCAGTTCCAATTAGGTGGCCTTACTCTTGGGTCACATCGTCCTTTGTTCCACTAGAACTGGAGAAGCCTTACCCTTATCTTTTTTGACCCTTCAACTCTAACTAGGTCTTGGAGCCCTGGGCCCAGCTTCTGGGCTTTCCTACCTAATACCTATTCCTGCCTCCCTGGATGACCCCACCCTGTCTGATCCTAGATCTCCTGCCAGCATGGAATTCACTTGTGGGAACACTCACCTCCCCTTAGCAATGGGATTATGCTGTGAATCTGTCACCCATGGCCCCATTCCTGCTACTCCAGGCCCCTCTGTCAACTTTTCCTCAGTATCTCTGACTGGCTGGCCCCATGCTCAGTCATCATGGAAATTTGCTTTGTCTTTGCCTTTCCCTTCTCTTCCATCCTTTCCACAAAACTCACACACACTGTCCCCCCACTACATCAGTAAAAGAGCTAATGTTTGCCTTGTACCCCCCACCACCCATTACATTCATTGTCTCTTAATTCCCATTTTACAGATGAGGCAATTGAGGCTCAAAAAGTTGAAGTGGCTAAACCAAGGTCTAGTGTCTAGGGTAAGGTATTTTCTTTACTTCACTTTTTTTTTTTTTTTTTGGCAGCCCTGGGGCTTGAACTCAGGGCCTTCACCTTGAGCCACTCCACCAGCCCTTTTTTGTGATGGGTTTTTTCAAGTTTGTCTCATGAGCTATTTGCCCAGGCTGGCTTTCAATCACAATCCTCCTGATCTCTGCCATCTGAGTAGCTAGGATTACAGGTGTGAGCCACCCATGCCTGGCTAAGTGTAATGTATTTTTTACTTCTGATTATGCAAATTCCATTCTTAAACTTCTTTGGGGGAAGAGGAGAGGATGACTAATTCTAGTCTGTTCCACTGACTCTTGGCCGGCTTTAGACACTAGCAGAAATGAGGTTCAAACCTGGGCCTGTGTGATGTCAACATGGATGGATGTAATCATTCTGCCCTGAGAGCCTGTGACCCTTTGAAAGTCTCCTGAGTACTAAGTACTGGTGCCCATGTGACCACCCATCATTCTTAGATGCTTCCTAACCTGTAGATAAGGAAGGCTCCACCACCCACCCAAGCTTTCCCTACTCCTTGGGGTGACCCTGGGATGGAGGAGTGGGAGCGAACATGTGTGATAGGTCTGGAGCAGCCCCTACTCACCATGTTGATCTTCCCTTGGGGGTGAGCCAAGGCCGACATTGAGGTGGCTGTCACCGTGCTGACTGCAAGGGCATAGTAGGTATTAAACACAGCATTCTTCTTTTCACTTGGAATGTTCAGCAGAGCAGAGTTGAACCTTGGCCAGAATATCCACAGGAAGAGAGTGCCTGGGGGCCAAAGAGGGTCACTGGCTAGAGTCACACTCCTGCTCCAAAGGCCTGAGCCCCCAGGAGCTCAGAAGAGGGGAAGCCTAGAGCCAGAAGATCTTAGCTGGGTCACTGTTTGGCCACATGTTCTTGGGTACATCTTCCCTGCTGAAGTCTCTGGTTGGTAGGAAATAGCTAACATATTTTCCAGGCAAGGAAAGAAATCCCAGAAAGCTGAAATCTACAAAGCCCAGGCCTCCTGACCCCAGCCTGTGATTGATGCCCATGGTCTGATACTCATTCACCTGTTGGGCTCGCTGCCTGATTTCCTCCAAGCTTCTCCCAGCCATCCAAGTTATCGTCTTCACTGCAGCTTTTCAAAATCAAACAGTATGGCTATTCTCTTCCCACCCCATTCCCACTCACAGGACTGCCTTTTCTTCAATGCTGGGGATGGAACCAAAGGCCTAGTCTGTTCCGCTGACTCTTGCTTATGATGGCTAGCTTTAATCACTAGCAAAATGGGGTTCAAACATGGGCCTGTGTGATGACAACAGGATGAATGTCATCACTCTCCACCCACATCCCCAGAAAGCCTGTGACCATTTGAAAGTCTCCTAAGTACCAGTGCCCAGGCAAGGGCTTCACCACTGAGCCACACACCTCCTTTTTTCTCTACTTGCTCAATCCTTCCTTTTAGTTGAGGACCAAAGGATTGGATAAACTTATTTAAACTCAAGCATAATGAGCCTCTCCTCTCCATTGGTTGTTAATGAAGGGAGGTCCCTAAAAGAACATGCATAATTCAAGCATTATTGGAAGCAATGCATCTTTTTTTTTTTTTCTTTTTTTGGTGGGACTGGGGTTTGAACTCAGGGCTTCGCACTTGCAAAACAGGCACTTTACCACTTGAGCCACGCCTCCAGGCCATCTTGCTCCAGTTATTTTGGAGAAGAGGTCTTAGAAACTATTTGCCCAGCTGGCCTCAAACCATAATCTTCCCTATCTCTGCCTCCCAAGCAGCTAGGATTACATGCATGAGTCTATGGTGCCCAGCTGCAGTAGATCTTATGGAAGGGCCTCAGACACTCAGGGTGAGGGTTAAAGGACAGATTTTTTTTTTTCAACAGAGAAGTTTGGAGCCTCTTGGCTCAGCCTAAGCAGGAGCCCACCCATCCACCTTGTTCTTACCCAGCATGGCAAACAGACTGGGAATTGTGGCCATCTGGACTCTCTCTCTCTGAGCTTTCTTATCCAATCCCTTGCACAAAGGCTTTAAGAAGTACCAGGCCACAGTCAGCCCAAAACAGGCTGCAAACACGTGGATGTACATCATGCCCACATGTTCGTCCACCTGCAACAAAACCCAGCGGGAGCAGTTAGTGTCACCACAGGCCAGCCCTGATACCCCTTGAAAACATTTTGGGCTTTCTGGAGGATTCATGATTTGAGCTCATGAGCCTGGTGTTTAGAGCTTATTCAGCCCAGCCAGCAACTTTGCCCTTCAGAGGGGCCCTTGGGGAACTGGTGTCCCTTCCAGGGAGGTCACTCAGTGGCTTTTATAATAGCTCTAAGGTGCAAGGTGGGGCAAGAAGTCACACAGACACACACTTCCTTCTGCCAAAGTTTCAGCTGAATTTTAACTCTGTATGGAGTCACAAGTGACATGATTCTGCAACATGAATCAACCAGATTTTTATAATACCAAATTAAACTTTTTAGTAGATTCTAGATATATGCTAATTTGCTTCATGAAAATATCAAATTTAGCAATCCTTAAGAGCTCACTTAATGAGTTACTAGTAAAGGCCGTCAGCTGGGCCTTCCAAAAAATTTCCAGAATTGGCAGAATTTTTACCATGGCTCCCCAGTGACTCCATCTTGGTTTCAGCCACCATTACCACTATCCCAGATTCCTATAGAACCTCCCAACTGTACTCTCCGTTTCCACCCTTGATCCCTTAGTAACTAGTCCTCTGGTAGCAGCCAGAGGGACCCTGTTAAATTAAGTCTGACCATGTCACTTCTCTATTCAGACTCTCCAGTGGCTCCCATCTCACTCACGTCACAGTCCTCAGTCCTGCTATGACCCAAAGGAGAACCCTGGGAGATCTGCTTCCATCCTAACCTCTCTGACCTCATCTCCCACTGCGTCTCCCTTGCACCTGCTCCCGTCTTCCTCATACCCACCAGCACTCCCACTTCAGGTCATTTGGCCACCTGGAATGCTCGCCCCAGCAGGGCAGAGATGAAGGCAGGGAGGAGGGAGTTGTCTACCCTGGGGGCAAGCAAGCAGGGAACGCACTGTCTGTAGAGAGTTTCGAATCCAGCTAAAGCCAGTGAAGAGTGTCTGCTTTTTATAATCATCATGCACAATACTTCTAAATGGCATCAGTGATACAAGAGGCTCCGGGCAACCACAATCTACATCCCTCACCCCGCAGTGGTCTGTCATGTCAAATTAATGCGGCTTTTTATTTATTTATTTTGTATTTTTGTTTACTTTTTGGTGGGACTGAGGTTTGAACTCAGGACTTTACACCTGCAAAGCAGGCGCTCAACTGCTTAAGCCACACCTCCAGTCCAATGCAGTTTTTGAAAACTTTGTTATGAAGACCATGTTCAAGTTGAAGAGGTTTAAAATGTACAGCTTATAGTGAATTTTTTCCTTCTTCTTCTCCCCCTCCTCTTCCTCTTCCTCCCCCTCCTTCTTTTGTAGCCCTAGCTTACCAGAAATGTGTGATTCTCCTGCCTCAACACAAGAACCAAGGCATATACCAACACTAAACTCCAGTAACACCTACCTCCTTGCCCTTTTCCAAGGTCCCCTCACAGCCCCATGACTCACCATTAAGAACTGCTTATTGATCCATCTCATGGTGCCAAAGGCTGTCACCTCCACCAGTGCCATCACCATCAGCTGCACCAAGTTGGTCTTCCCTAGGACAGTACCTGCCGAGATCAGCACAGCCATGGCGCTCATGGTGGCCAGCTGGAGACTGGTGGAGAGGAAAACCAGGATGACCAAGGGGCAGGACATCTCACATTCATTCATTTGCCAGGCACCAACTCTGCCTGGCACTGCTCAAGGCACTGAGGATGTAGTGTGAGGGGACCAGATGAGGTTCCACCCACAGGAGGGATGCTGTGCCCTACTGAAGGCTGGGGTCCCCCACCATGGTAGCATTCTCACTCTTAGAGACTGCTCTGCACACACTCATCATACCGAGAATGCTGAGGGTCATAGTCTGTCCTACACGTGTCACCATGAGTTAGAGTCTGTTTGTTCCCAGAGTCTCTGCTGCGACCTGAGAACGGATTTCTTTTTCTGCAGTCACACTTGCAAATGCTCAGTAGAGGGCGCTCTGCACCTGCTGGCCCACTCGCCATCTGGGCACTGCCGCCCTCAGCTCCCTCTCCTGGTAGCCGAAAGAGACTGAGTTTGGAAGTAGGACAAGCCTGGCTTCCCATCTCAGCTTTGCCACCTGTGCAGATATTTAATCTCACTGAGCCTGTTTCTCCACCTGTAAAATAAGAATGAAAATCACACGCACCTCCAGGTAGTACACGGAGATTGCAACTGGCACAGAGCACTCACTCGTGAATAGAAGCTAGCATCATGAACACTGTCACTGACGCCTTCCTTCCCTTGACAAATGAGCATGCTCAGTGTGGCCATTCAAAAGGAGAAAAAACATTTTTGTCTTCAAGATGCATATGATCTGGCTAGTGAGACAGACAGGGCTTGCACTGAGAGCCCATCAACTCAGAACATCTACACCAGCATGAGGCTGGAGGATTGACTGGAAGGAGAAAGTGGTAAGGACTGGACTCATTAGGGAGGGCTGCCTGGAGGAGGTAGCACTGAGCTGAACTATCTACTTTCCCCTGGACCCTGGGCTACCCCTGGTACTTTCTGGTGTCCTTGTGACAATCTACAACCATGACTAGAATAATAATGATATCACTCGTTTATATGCTAGCCCTCTGTAAGATGGTCCTTAGAAGCTGCTTTTCTTGAAAAGCAAGCACTGCCTCCTCACATGGGCCTACAAATGTCCAAAGGGTAACTAGTGACCCAGTCACTATCCAGTCTCCCATTCTGTATCTGTGTTCTTTGCTCTGAGCCATTCTCTCTACAGTCACTTTGCAACCACCTTGGAATCCAGGAAGGACAGACTGATAAACATCCTGTGAGAGGAGACAAAGCTACCCCCTGCCAGGCAGCAATGACTTCCTTATTGCTTCAAGGCCCTGCATGACCAATCCTGAAATAAGGAGCAACTAGACTCCTTTGGTCACCAGCACCAGACCACACCTGCCACAGGGCTGGTTAATAATTTGCCCACCTCTCCCCCCTTGCCCCCAATTCTTCCTCTGTTTAAACCTTATGTTCATGTCCACATGGGGAAGGCAGCCTGAAGTGCTGCCTTTGCATCTTCCTGCAAATCCTTTCTCTACCCCTCACCACTGCTCATCTCTTCATATGTCACATTAGGGTGAGTGGCTGAACCTGACAAGTGGAACCTGGAGAGTTGGGCTTGTGACCAAAAAGTCGTTACACCAGGTTACCATTCAGTAATCTGTTATGCCCAAAAGGACACTGAGAGTAGAAGAACTCACTTCCTTTGTCAATGGCCACACTGCCAGTTGTTGACAAATAGGAGGTTCAGACCCAGTTGACCTGGATTCAAAGTGTGGACATAGCGTCCTTGGTGTTCACTGCCGGCGCAGTGTCCTGTGTAAAGCTTGAAGATTTCAGAGGAAGGTCAAGAAAGGCCCAGGGCATGAGGAAGGGGTCCTACAGGGACCAGGGTAACTCGATGCTTCTTGGCCTGTACAGGCCATGCCTTTGAAGTGAGTGGTCATTGCATGGGCAGGCTTAATTCAAGAGGATATGTGCCAATGGTGGGATCTCAGAGCTAAGGGGTAGCTGGAGCTGGGAAGGTGCTGGAACAGTGAAGTACCACGGTTAGGAGGGTAATGTCAAGTCCAGGCTGCCTGGACTAGAGACGTGACTTGGCCACTTCTTGCCTGTGCAATCTTGGGCAAATTACTTAACCACTCTGTGCCTTAGTGCCCTGTCTGAAAGGTGGAGGCAACACCTCTGGAGCTTTTGTCAGTGGAAAACAAGTTAATACAGGTCAAGTACAACAAGGGGCTTGGTTAGTACCCCAGAGAGTCCTCTGGAACCTTTCAAAATATAGCATTAAAACTATCACTCATGGCTGGGGTATGGCTTAGTGATAGAGCACTTGCCCAGCTTGCATGAGGAGCTGGGTTCGATCTCCAGCACTGCAATCAATCAATCATTCAAATGAGTTTTTTAGGGATCCTTTTGTTTTCATTTTTTTGTCTCAATAACCACTTACCAAGTTCTCAGTAGTGAGGAAAACAAAGGAGGACAAGTCCCTACCCTGCAGGGACTTAAGGTGGAACCAATTTAGTGCCAAGCCAGGTGGCCAGGGAGCGGAGAGGATGCTGTCCCAGTGGCAGGCCCTGGTAAAGTCCACCAGGCTAGCTCTGGCCTGGCCGGTCAGGAGGGAGCCATTGTTCAAATCTATGAAGTCAGTACAGCCAGGTCCTGGGTCCCCACCAGGAGGATCCAAATGACCCAGGGAGGGGCAGGGGACTTCACTCAGGCTGCCATTGGCCCCCTCTGGGTGTCCTGGACTGAGTCAGGAACCAATGGGCCCCTGTGGATGTCAGAGGGAACTGCCCTGAGATGCCACTGTGCTGGCTTGCTCAGGTTCCAAAAAAGGGTGACAGCTATGTGACCATAAACCAAGGCAGCAAACCCCCCAAGACTAGGGAGGCCACTGTCACAACTCCCCCAGGGTGCCCTTTGCCCTTCCCAGGTAGACGCCAGGGGGTATCCAATCCCTGCAGGGATTAATCTAAAAACTTTTAAAAAAGGAACAATAGGGCCACTGGGAAACTGGCCCTATTGTTGTGATGACCACTCTTGAGGGTGTGGAAAGGGTTACAGAGAAAGCTGAAGCAATCTCCACCATTTAGCCATGTGACCCTAGGCAAGTGCCTTACCCTCTCTGAGCCTTCATTCCCTTACCTGTATGAGGTTGGACTTCAGCCTGGGAGGGTTAAAACAAATATTTGTGAAGTGCCCCCTACCCTACCTGACTCATGGACACCTGACCAATGGCGGGGTCTAGAAGGTTGAGCGGGGCCTCAGAGGGATGCAAGGGAGCCTTGAGAGGGTTCCAGAGGTCCCCAAGGTGCCTGGGATGAAATTACCCTCACCTGGGCAGGATAGAGATCAAGAGTTGGATAAAACAACAATTTTGTGTGTGTGTGGCACTGGGGTTTGAACTTAGCCTTGAGCTTGCTAAGCAGGTGTTCTACCACTTGAACCACACTCCCAGCTCAAGGAAATACAAGTGGTAGAGCACTTGACTAGAAAACATGAGGTCCTGAGTTCAAACACAAGTACTGACAAAAGAAAAAAAGGATGCTCATTTCCTGTCAGCTCAAGGAAATAAATTAAGGGAAAATGTCTCCTGGTTCTTCCTATCAATTGCTGATGCCTTTTTTAAAGTATATAACTCCATACATATGTGCATCCATATCTGTCTACTATGTATGTATGTATGTATGTATGTATGTATGTATGTTTCTATCTATCCATTTGTCTCCCCCTGTATCACCATCACCCAGGTTAGCAGAGAACATTTACTGACCCCACAGGTCATTTTGTGTCCCTGCCTAGTCAATATCTACTGTTGCTATGTAACATGTAACACTGACTTCCAGCACATGGTTTAGTTTTGCTAGTTCATACTACCTCATCTAAATGGATTAAAATTAGTTTAAAGGATAAAAAGACTGGGAGGTAGAGATAGGAGGATGGTGGTTCAGGCAAAAAGTTAGTGAAACCCAATCTCAAAGAATAAGCCAGGTGTGATGATGATGAGCATCTGTAATCCCTGCAACTCAGGAAGTGGAGATAGGAGGATCTCAGTCTGAGAGTGGCTCTGGCAAAAAGTGTGAGACCCTATCTGAAAAATAACTAAAGCAAAAAGGACTAAGAACATGACTCAAGTAATAAAGTGCCTTCCTAGCAAGTGCAAGGCCCTGAAGGAGAAGGAGAACGAGAAAATAAATGCATGGCTATATCTTGTCTACCAGCATCTAAAAACTGAGTACTTCCTTCCTTTTTCTAGTTTTTATTTTGGCGGTATGGGGATGAACCCTGAGTCTCTCACATCTAGGCAAATGCTTTATCACTAGCTATATCCCCAGCTCTTCCTTCCTTCTTTTCATGAAATTGTCTCTCTTGGTGTGACATTTCTACTTCTTTTTGCTTAACCTCTTTTTTCTATGAACCTTTGTTGATTGTGCAACTTTATATATCATAATCAATAATAAAGAGGAGGATCCAGGGAAGGCTGTAGATCTGGAAGCCTGGGATACCACGGAGTAATGGTGTCAGATAAAATACCTGGCTAGATTTTAGATAAGCAATGCATAATCTTTTAAAATGAGTATGTCCTAAATATTCCATCTATCAGTGCTAGAAAAAAAGGACTCTTGCCTCTCAGACCCCACACTCTCAAGGTCCCATAGGGCCCCCGTTGACATCGGTTACCTGGACAGTTTGATGATCACCTTCCCAAAGAAGGGCTGGTCCAGGACTCCGTCCAGCAGGATTGCCCACTGCACTCCGAGGGCCAGCAGGAAGAAGTTAAAGCCCACACTGCTCCAGGCGAGCCTCCGCAAAGACAAGGGGAGAAAGCCCAAGCCCAGGGCTGCCATGATGGTAAAATCCTGGAGGACTTCACAGGGAGGAGGGGTGCAGAGAGAGAGGAGGAAGAAGCAGACAAGAGGGAGAGGTATGAAGTGAGAGTATGACAGAATAGCATCTAGGACACTGGAGATCACATCAGGGTGCTTACATGGCTGCTTTGCCTCTTCGGACCACAATTTTCTAATCTGAATAACACACATATCACACAGGGTTGAACTGATGCTGGCTAAGGACTTCAGCCAGTGCCTGGTGCACATGAGTGCTCGGGAAATGTAGCAATGGTTGTTAGGAAGCATAATGACATGACCGACTGCAGAGTGTCAGGACCTGTGCATGGCACATGATGGATGCTCAGTAAAGGTAATTGCCACAGTTATTGGGGATCAGGTTCCACTGCCTGGTCAAGCATGTAAGTAGGCCATAGCAGTGGCCTGGCCCAAGATATACAGCAAAGAGAAGGCACAGGCAGGCCCAGAGCTCCTGTTGGCATGAACCAAATTCTCTTCATAGAAAACAGCTCTCTCTACCTTAGCTACCTGCCACAGTACCAGGACCACCTGGGTGGCCCTCATCCGTCCTATCTTCAGAGCCTGAGCAGGGGAGGCTGAGGAAAAGTCCCACCTGATGGCAGGGAGAAGAAGGAGCACTTATGTGTTTCCAGTTTTGAAAAATAACTAGCAGGTTGTGTTCCAGAACCAGACAAACTGGCACTTTCTAGTTGTGTGGTCTTGGATCTAGAATTCAACCTCTCTGAGCTTTAATAACAGCCTATGCTTATTAAGTGTTTACCATATGCTAATGGTGCATGACAAGTAATTTCTTTTTAATTTAATTTTACTTTTTGGCAACACTGGGGTTTGAACTCAGAGCCTCAGGCTTCTTAGGTAGGTGCTCTACCACTTGAGCCACTCTGCCAGCCCTTTTTGGTGATGGGTTTTTTTCAAGATAGGCTCTTGCAAACTATTTTCCAGGGCTGGCCTCCAACCACGATCCTCCTGATCTCTGCCTCCTGAGCAGTTAGAATGACAGGTATAAGCCACCTGCATCTGGCTTGATGGTTAATCTTTATTTGTCAACTTGATTGGGTTGAGAGACATCTAAGTTAGTCAAGCACACCTCCAGGTTTCTGTGAAGATATTTCCAGAGACCAATAAATTGTGAGGGTTTTGAACATAATCAATGATTTAATCCATTGACAGATACAAAACATGAATGCTCAGATTTTGAATCGAGGACTGGACGTATGGCTCAAGTGGTAGAGCACCTGCCTAGCAAGTTCAAACCCCAGACCTATCCCCACCCCAAAAAACCAATTTTGCACTCACATTTTGAATCATGGTGGAACTGTGGAAGGTGGGGCCTCGTCGGAGGAAGTGGTTCCCTGGTGGCATGCTTTGAAGGATACATCTTCACCCTGTCTCCTCCGTTACTCCTATCTACTTCCTGGCCATCATTAGGTGAACAGCTTTCCTCTGCCATGCCCTGGCTCCATGATGTCCTGCCTCACTACAACTCAGAAACAACGAAACCAGCTGACCATAGACTGAAACCTCTGAAACCATGTACCCAAATAAATCTTTCCTCCTTTAAACTTTTCCTTTCAGGCATCTGTCACAACAACAAAAGTCTAACACACAGTATTTGAATCACTTTACATAGACCGTGTCTTTTGGTCCTCACCACCACCATTTGAAGTATGAGCTGTTACATCACCATCATTCGACGTGAAAACAAGGCCCATAGGAGTTAGGTAACTTGTCCCTCTGGCAGAGCCCAAGTTCCAACCTAGAAAGTGTGCTGGAGCGTGTGCGGTTACCTTCCACATGCCTTCCTCTTCCTGTTCCCATCTGTTGGCTGGGAACAGTTACCATTCTCCTCAATCAGGTTGCCATAACCCAGTGGGAAAAAGCATGAAGGGTTCAGAACGTAAAGCAATAAACACCAACCACTCCACACACGTACAAATGCCTGGAGAGAGATCTTGGAGGGTTTTTCTCCTCCCCTGGATGTTGTCTCTGGGCTTGATAGATTTTTTTTACTTTAATTCATTCTCCCATGTTGAAATTTCCTACAATGAGTGTGTACACCATAAATGGCTTTTGTTAAAAATCAGGAAAAAACATGGAATTCATCCATTTCTGTTTGATCTCTGCTGTAACAAGGTTAAACCTTATTAAACTGCCCACGGTCGACCATTTTTGACCTATAAATTTATATGTTTCAACATGTAAAACATGTTTTTATGTTTTCAACATAAAAAGCCTTTTATGTTGCTTGCTTCCTCATCAGCTAACGGGGCAATTAGACACTTTGCGGGTGCTGGGAGAGCTGAAAGGCATAATGCTGTTTGGTGCAAGTTCTGGCATACGGAGAATGCTCCATCAACACTTATTTGTCATTGTCATTGAGATCATCGTCTCACTAAGAACTCACCTGCCTCTGGCCTCAGCTCTGGCTGGCAATCAGGAAGCTCCCATTACTGGAACCTTTCCAGAGTCTCAGAAAGTCCCTTTGGTGTATACACAGTCTATTTAAATTCACTACCATTGAAGAATACACACTTCCAGGGTCTGGCACATTGGACTTGGGTAAGTGCTGATGCTCTCAGATCAATCGGACAACCCCCGGATGTAGGAGGCCCCTGAGGACCACAGTGGGATCTAGGGATTTGAGGAGCAGGTGAGAAGTGGGCAGTAGGAAGGTTTCGATCACCTCTTTGTGCTTTCTCCCCTGATGTGGTGGAGGGAGGTACAGGAAATGCTTCTATCTCCTGCTTGCGTCTGTGTGGCAATGGTGGTTGGGTGGGGTAGGCAGGGCACATTTTGCATAAAGTTTCCTTTTGGGATCTTTCAAATTCCTTCAGAAACCAAGCAGGAAATATGTGAAGGGCAGAGCACATTTGGGAGTAGGGAGGCTTGTAGCTAATTGGAAACTGCATGCCCCACTCAAAATATTCAAGTCCAATCTTTTGTTAGTCACTGTTGCTAAATGATGCATCTGCCACTTTGCAGCAATGCTGTATGCACAGGGCCCAGCCTTATTGAAGATTTCATGAGTAGGGAGATTCCTCCACTTATTTCCCATTTTTCCAAAGGGGACCAGAGATAGCTGTGACTTCCTCAAGGCCACACAGCACACCTACAATAAAACCTAGCTCTGAACTAGGCTTCCAATAGACTATGCTATCTCTAGCTGGCTTCTTGTTGTTGTTGTCATTTTAACCTCACCATGCTAAGGAGGCTTAGGCAAGTTTCTTGCCCTTTCTGGGCCTCAGTTTCCCCATCTGGAACACATAGGAATTGGGTTTGATTTTCTGGAATATTCTAGGAGGGGGCAGGGTGGGTGGGGACAGTAACCAACACGAGGGCAGTGGTGGGGCCCTAAAGGTTAAAAAGTCAGAGTTCAGGAGCTGGGTATGTTGATGCACATCTGTAATTCCAGCAACTCAGGAGATGGAGGCAAGGAAGATTGAGTTTGAGGCCAGCCCAGGCAAAGTTAGTCTCAATAACTAAACAAAAACAAAAGAGCTGAGGCATAGCTCAAGTGGAAGAGCTCTTTCCTAGCATGCTTGAGGCCCTGGGTTCAATCCCCAATATCACACACACAAAAGTCAAAGGATGAGGAGGAGGCCTTTATTGGCTCAGTTGCACAGCATCAGCCTCCAGTCTGATAAGCTAAAGGACTGCAAGGTGTTGAGGAGTGATAAGGAGAGGAAATGCTACAGGAGCCCCTGGGGCTGGGCGCAGAGAGGAATTTTACAGCCTGCCAGGCCTTCCGGGAAGTTATGAAAGCCTCAGGTCTTGGAGAAAGGTCTAACTTGGAAGGGAGGAGATGAGGCAATCATCAGCATCTCACTACACCAGCAGGCACATGGGGAACCTCCACCTACCAGGCACTAAGTGTCTCACAGCCTTAGCCCTCAACACCTGTGCAGTGGGTGCTATTTATTCTCCCCATTTTACAGATGGAGAAAGGGAGGCACAGAAAGCTGCTGTAAACAGCGCAAGCCATACAGATAGTAAATGGTTATCCACCTGCTTCTCCAGACAGCACTGGGACAGTAAAGGCAAAGAGCATGGGCTCAGAGCCCAGCTCTACCTCTGTGTGCCAGCTTTCCTGTCTGTGAAATGGATAGAAAACAATTGCTATGGATTCATGCAAATCACTTGGCCCAAAGCAGGGTGCACAGAGTTAGCAGACACTAACCAGCACCTGCCATTCATTAGCTGTAACTTTAGGCAAGACTGTTCCCTTTCAGGCCTATTGGTTCCCTTGCCAATAGTTCATTTGGATAACTACAGTTCAGTCCTCTGAGTTCATCTGAACAGGCAGCTGCCTCCTCCAGTCCGCTGTAACCCTCCCCTTACCCCCCATTTTGGATCTGCCTCCCCCATTCTTGCCCCTCTCCTTGGCCTGCAGAAGCTTCAGCACTAACAGCTCTGAAGCTATGCCCAGTTGGTCCCAGGCTCTGTGCTCCCCACTTCTGGCTGGTAGGACCTCTGCACCCATGGGGGCCATCCACAGAGCCCACACTGCCTCCTTCCCCGCAGCCTCTACTCCCACCCCACTCTCACTCCACCAGCAACCTGGGAAAAGAAAAAGAGGTTTCCTAGAGGGGCAGCCCCAGGCTGAGATGTGAGAGGTGCCAGGGTTTGTACCCCTGAGAAACCCCTTGTCTTCTGATAGCCCTTCTCCCTGCCTCTGAGGAATTCAGGGTGGAGGGCAGAGGGACTGGGGTGGTATCTGCAGCACAGGGCTCAGGATGGTCCCCTGCATGGCAGCTCTAGGGCAGACCCTATGTGGTAGATTGTTCCAGAAATGACTCCCAGTGAAACCTGCCTCCCGGCATAGACCCCCTCCTCCCTGGATTTGGTCTTATAATTGGCTTTGGTCAATGGGACATCAGTAAACATGTCACAAGCAGAGCCTTGACAAGCACCCCTACATTGGGTC